CTGGAGGAGTCGTCTGTGCTGCTTTCACGGGCAGGCTCTGGAGCTGGGGGGATGCAGAGGGTGCCGGGAAGGTTTGGAGCTGCACCTGGCTGTAGGGCCGCTGCAACTGTGGCTCCAGGGTCCCGCTGCTGCTGCCACTGCTGCCGCTGCCCTGGAAGGTGCTGCACAAGGGATCCGAAAACAGGTCTGGAAAGTCTCCTGCCTGGTTACTGACAAACTGCAGCATCTCTGTAAAACAGAAAAAAAATTGTTCAACACTATTTCGTCACCTGCATACTTTGATACCTGCCATTTACATCATGGAATTATGATGTGTGTACACAGAAGGTGCTCTGGGTCCTTCAAAACCTTCAGAGAACATCACATCAATGCAACACCTCCAGAGAGACCAGTGGCCAGCAGCAAAGCACTGTTGCTGCTGTTCAGAGTGAAAAGTAAGACCCTCCCACAACACCTTCCAGACAAGATCCAAGCACAGACTAGACCTTAAAGCCATCTTCAATACATATCTAAAATATTAGAGTCTTGTTCCATCACTCCTTCAGTCTAACCCTTGCAAAAGGAAGAAACCAAGCACCTCAACAATTCCAGCACAAACCATTCTCCCACCTAACTTTTGGGAGCTTTCAACTCCCCTATCTTCTGTATTGCCCCATGGAGTATCTGGAAAAGAAAGAGACAGGGTAATAACTCATCTTCTCTTTCTTTTACTTACAAGCGTAACAAAAATAGGGGCAAAACCATGAAAGGAAACACCACTTTATAGAACTGTACCATGATCAACCCATGCATGTGTTTAAAACATCAGAACAACTTTTTCTTGGTTTGGTTGGTTTTCTGCCTGCAATCACTGGACAAGAGGTTTTCTCCATCCCACCTTCTCCAAGATTTTATGAACCCATATCAAGAAGCTCCTACTGCAACACTATAGGCCTTCCCCCTAGAGGTGAACATTTCACAACCAAGAGATCATTATTCATAAGCAGAGCTTCCTCTTCCCTCCATCTAATCCAATTTAATACCTTAAGACATATGAATGCTTTCCCTGATCTGTGTGCAGGCAGTGGCATGAGGAATCAGACATTCTTCCCCACCCCAGGACCTGCCCCTGAGGCACTGGCTCTTCCATGGTTTTCTGAAAGTCCTATATATTTTTTCTGGAAACAGGAAAAGAGGGGACCCACAAATCTAAGAGAGATTATGACAAAATAATAAATATGGGTTCAGGAAGCAAAAAATAGATTTCTGATTTATAGGAAAAAACACACCAAAGGGCTTCTTACACCAGGACCTTTCTCATTCACAAACCCCAAAGCATGTCACTGCTGTGATTTATGAAATAGATTTAAAGCAGTAAACTTTTGACAAGAAGTTTCCATGGATTATGCCCCAGCAATAAGAGGGCTATTAATTTACTCAGCTTTCTGAAATGCCACCCACACATTACCCAATTAATTTGTCTGACACTCCTTTGTCTGAAACAGAGCAAAGGGATGAATCCTCCTGCAAGCCTCTTGGTCCTTCAACACACATTCCAACACATTTCTGCGATACTTCTACTTTTCTCTTTGGATAGCAATCCTTCCACACCCTGACACACATTTAAGCACTGGCCATGACCACTGCTCTCAAGAACGAGAGTCTATTGGAGGGAGGAGCCTGGAAGATGAGCCCTCCTGACCTGTTCACAACCTGACACTAAGTGGGGACGCACAGCTCCCCCAAGATGAGGCAGCAGCCACCCTTGGAGACCAGCTGGACCAAACCCTTGTCTCAACTTTTCACTAGAGGAATGAAAGATTTCTTTTTTTAATGCATTGCCTTAACTGCTTTCACAAAACACTAGCAGAACAAAGAGGGCTGTTTCAAGATCAACATCTAGATAGATACTAAATAGCTCTTCACATTCCAACTGACTTCAGCTAAAACCATCCCGAATAACCCTCACCGTGATAAAACTAATAATCCAGACTACTTCCTGAACTCTGCATTTGATTGCTATTTAACTATCAGACAGCACAACTGCAAGTAGGGAATAAACATAAATCAGATAAGATTTGCTCTGGAAGAGTAAATTCCAGCATAAGAACAAAATTTCAACTGCTGTGCTTTAAAGAATTTTTTGTTCAATGCAGTAGATTTAACAGATTATTTAAAAAACTACTCCTGCTCTTGTAAGTTAAATCACTACTTATGACAGACTTAACTTTGAATGCAAAAAGTCTAAAGCTTAATTTTTTCAGAATTAAGACTGCCAGGAAGTCTGGCAGTCTTAATTAAAATCCACCTCTTTTAAAGGGCTCAAGAGCTTTCCTAATAACAACGCACAAAAAATTAAAAGCAAGAGAAACAGCTGACACCCAAAATCTAAATCTCTGCTTTTTAAAACACCTTTGCCTACCTAGAAAGCAGAATATCCACACTGACTGTGAGAAACCTCAGGTGCTTCTGGAGCCATCAGTGTCACCAGAGCACCTGCACCCTCTGTGCCGAAGAGGTATCTAGGTCTCAGGCCCTGAAGCACAGTGACCTTACTGTAGAAAAATATCCAAGCCCAACCCAAGGCTAAAAAATGTCAACAAGGTATTACAAAATCAAAATTAAGCCCACCAAGGGCTTCTGCTGCTTTCATCAGCCCAGGGCCTGAATACCTAGCAGAAAGGCAAGGGCTGGGTTTCAGTTGCCTTTCCCAGGCAGTGGCTCCCACCTCAACAGAAACAACTTCTCTGTCCTGAACCTTGATGTGCTTCGACCTCCCACTGACTCAAACCTCGTACTCTGATGTTACCCAGCAGTGCCCTGCCAGCAAAAGATGCCCATGACTGGTGGAGGAGCTTATGCTGGGGCAAGAGGCAAAGCCTTTGGGCTCAGCACTCGGGCCCCCCGGCCACCCTTGTGCCCTGTCTTGAAGTATGAATCCAGTGAGCACTAACATCTCAGAGCACATCTGCCAAAAGAAGTCAAAATCCACACAACAGGCAGTGAGGAGCCCCCTCAGTCTGAACAGGAGAGGAACACCCACAAGACGACTTAAAAACCAAATGAAAATCCTTGCAAAATTTCAAACCCTGAGATGAATCCATGCTGATGCACAAAAAAAGCAGGATTGTCATGTATCTTCCCCCTGCCTTCCCTGAGAAAATCCACCCCTGGAGGTGGGGAGGAAAGTGAAGCTCGTTTTCCTAAGTTACTCATCACTCTGAATCACACCTCAGTTCAGAGCCATTGCTGGGTTCATAAATGCATCTCAGTTTCCGTATGGAACCTGAGAACTCATTATGTGGTGCTCAAGCAACAGCAAACACCTCCTTCAATGTGCACTATCAAACTTTATAAGCAATAACCAAACCCACTGCACCCGCATATGGCACATTCTTCTTTTACAACAAAAGAAAAAAAGGAATATAAATTTTGTCCCAAGCTATGTGACAAATCAGTGTCAAGAGAGACCTAAAAGTACTGATAAAATTTTATCTCCCAGCAGCTAAACAAGGATATTTTAGACAGCCCCAAAACTGAGCACTGTTTGGGATTACAGCCCAGCAGAGCAGTGAGCTAAGGCAGGAGCTCATCTCCACCAGGCTACAGCACAGACTACACCGAGAAATATCACTTTCAATGGGGTTTTCAGGGGCTACCTGGTGTCGCCAAAAATATACATAAAATAGGCGACACACGCAGGCACTTCATCTTGCTGCACTTCGGTGGAAAACAGGGGGTTTCTCACAGGTCTGGGCTGTGCCAGCGATGCAGTAAAGTTTTAGGATGACAGGGAAAACGGGAAATTTCAGCAGTTAGAGCTGTTCCGATGCAGGAGGGCTTGGAGGCTCGGCCTCCCACGGGCACCAGTGGAGGCACAGCTTCAGCCATCGTTTAGCACCCACTTTAAAAGACCCACGAGGGAACGCGAGGGGAACGTGGGCAGCCGCCGCTTGCCCCGTGGATGTGCGGCAGGAGCAGGGAGCACGGTCACCGCTTTCCCCGACCCCCACCGGTGCAAGGGTGGGCTCGGCAGCTCGGATCCCCACAGCCCCACCGCCCTCCTGCGGCTCCGGCCTCCACTCCAGGCGTGCGGCAGCCCCACGGAAACAGCTCAGAAGCGCTCCCGTGACAGGAGAGACACGCGTGTCCGCTCGCCAGGCGAGCGCTGCCCGGCGGGACGCGCTCCGCTCCCCCGCCCGTGCCCACCCGAGACGCGGGATGCCCGCTCCCCCCGCGCGCGTGGCAGCCCGCACCGCGTGGGAAGCGCCCCCACCCTGAACACTCCAGAGGCACGATCCAAGGACCACCCACCCCCGCCTCCTACCCCAGCAGCCGCGGGTCCGCGCGGGGAGACCGGAGCGCTCCCCCTGATATGCGTGGGAAGCCCACGCGCACCGTCCCCACCCAACCCCCCCGCTCCTTCCCGCGGCGCCTACCGTCGATGTCGCCCAGGGTGAGCTCGTCGCCCAGCTCAGTCAGGGTGTCCATGCTCTCGGCGGCCAGCTCGCCGCCCTCCATCGCGCAGGGCCCGCCGCGGCCCCGGGCGCTCAGGGGGAGGCTGCTGCCGCTGCCGGCGGGCGCCGCCGACCCCGCGCCATCTTGGGCCGGCCCGCGGCCCCGCCCCCGCGGCCCCGGCGCGCGCGCCCCCCGCGGTTTGTTGTCAATGAGACCAGGTCGCCCCCGGCCAATCGGCGGCCGCGGCGGCGCGTGGTGTGATGGCGCGTCAGCGATCAGCAGCTGCGATTAGCATAGCCCGCCCCGCCCCCTCCGCGCTGAATATTCATGAGGGGGCGGGCAGCGCCGCGCCGGGCAGCGGCACTGACGCCACCGCCCCCGCCGCCCACGGGAAACGCGCCCCGGGATGCGCGGGGAAAGGCCAGATGCAAGGCGGCGGTGGATAGAGCAGGGGGATGGTCCTGCCCTCCGCACCGCCCACGGACCCTCACCTCCGGAGAGGCCAGCCTCGACGCTTTCTGGCGTACACCCGCTCCCACCAGGAACGGGAGCAAGAGCCAGGATTCTTCTACTTAAAAAAAATAATAAAGTTAATTTTATTCAAGAAAAACCAACTGCGCCCATTGCCACCCCCTCCCCTCAATGGAGGGACTTGGCTCTGCTGTTAAAAAACCCGGGACGTTTCCCTTTCCTCAAAGGCTGTGATGCTGCCAGCCTGACACAGCAAACCAGCTCCTTGGGAAAGCAAGAGCCTGCTCTGGTGCGAGGCCATCAGCATAGGTGACAAATCACAGGGTGGCTGTGTCGGGTCGTGCTCTGTTCCCCATGGCAGCTGACACCTGGTGGAGGGTCGCAGCCACTCAAGTTGGCTCCCTCCCTATTTTGGCCATGCTATCACCACATGCCCTCATCTGGCTGCCCCCTGACAAGGGGCTTTGGGGGCTCATTTAGAGAGGATGAGCCCCAAAGAGAAGGGATGGCTGCAGGACAGGCTCTCAGTGGCTCAGGGCTGGCTCCCCAGCCTCTTCAGCATCAGCATTGCTTGCACTACAGCCACCCACTGGCTGCAAAGAGGCCAAGTACCAAAATTCCTCCAAACTGTCCAAAAATTCACCGGGCATTTGCCTCTCTGTGGGAATGACTTGCGGAGGCCCCAACATGCCATCAGCCAGGAACAGCTGCCATTGACATTTTCAACTACGTTGGACAATGAAACACATGTTGCTCGGTGAAACAGCCGCTGGGAAAAGGGAAGGTCTGATCTGGCAGAGGTAGCAGCTGTGCAGAGACCAGGTAGAACCCAGTGGGGGGTGCCAATGAGATCACCCGTTTAACGAAACAAAAAGCAAAACTGAGAGAAGCAGCATTGCTCATGAGGCTGTTTGGTGTGATGCACGCCCCAGCCCACCCGTGTTGGAGGAGGCATCTTCAGTGTGGGGTGTGCTGCAGTGAGGAGGGTTCCCTGGGCTCCACCAGAGATGTGTCCCCCACACCCTACTTCCCCACAGGCAGCAACACCCTGACCAGGGGATGGCTCCAGTGTTGTCCTGTCTGTGCTTTACCTCTGCAGAAGGGGTATCTCACTTTAGCCCCTTCGGGGCAACTAGCACCACCACGCAACCTTCACTGAACAGAAACAAAAGGCAACAAAACAAAACCCACAGCACAAATGGAAAGGGAATGGCCAGGCACCGGCCCAAAGCTGCCAAAAAGGGAGCAAGCCACTCTGTGTCTCAGTGGTGTCACCTCCACTGCAAGGCACAAGTCCCAGCATGCTACAGCTCCGACTGTGAGCGGGAGATGCGTGGGCCCTTGCGGATCTCCTTCCGCTTCTCTTCCTTCTTCCTCCTCTTCTCCTCATCCCGCAGCGCCTTCTGAAAGGTGTCAGCACTGGGGAAAAACTGTGGGTTGATAGCAAAGGGTCAGCACGGGGCAGTGCCCACAGCCTCCCAGAGGCACAGCCCCTCCAAACACACCAAAGCTAGTCCACAAGCCTCACAGTCCAGGGAGCTTTGAGCATGGATGCAGCACGAGGCAGACAGAGGCCAACCACGAGGCAGGTGGCTACAGAAGGGAGGAGAGGGCACCAGGTGCCCAAAGTAGAGCACAGATGGGGAATTCAGTGTTTGTGTTTCAGCCATGCTTATTCAGTGACAGGGTCTTTTGGCCATTTCCCACAGGCCTCCCATTCCATTCCCCAGCCAGCTGCCTGGAGCTGTAACACAGATGGGGAGGCCCACAAGACAAGTTGGCACGGTTGCCATCTTACCTCTGACTGGTCCGTTTTAAAGGGATTGCGGTAATCGGGCGATTTCTCACTGATTCCTAGCTCCTGAGCCATCTGCAAAGCAAAGGGGAAACCTCACTGGGGAGTGGTGCCTCCCACTTGCATCCTCTCTTCCACCAGTCCCATCTGTGCTCTTCCCCCATCCCTCAGCTCAAGGACAGCCCCCAGACATGTGGGGTCCCTGCCTTCCTTTTACCCCAAAACCCTCACCTCCCCCAGCCTAGCAGCAGAGAGGGGTCACGGCACGGGGGACGAAGAGCCATACCAGCCGCAGGACCTGGGAGTGGGGTCCCTGCTCGAACACACCCGTCAGGTTGCAGAAGCCGATGCCCCAGCGGATGAGGCTGTTCCAGTTGGAGTTGCGGTCGAAGTAATGGTGCACAATCTTGGGGAAGCGCAGGACGACGTCCCCGAAGAAGGCAGTGTTCTCCACCACGTGAGAATATGCTGTGGGGACAGCCACCAGCTCCATCAGCAGAGACTGAGGGCAAACCAATAGGCTCCCCAGCATGAAGTGGTCAGAGAGGCAGCAATACGGTCCCCAGCAGACAGGGACCAGCCCTGGTCTGGACTGGATACATAGGGGTTTTGTACCTACCCCACACTGATCCCAGGAAGAATGTCTGTGGTGCACCAGAGCACCAGAAAAAGGAGAGGGGTAAAAACTAGAGAGGACATACCATCCTTTATCTTCTCATCCTGAGGGAAGGGCCCATCAGGAGGCACATCAGCAGCTATGAGGACAGCACGGGAGTCCTCCAGCACCTGCCAAAGTCCTTGGTTACTGCTTTGTCCTGGAGGTGCTGCCACAGCTGCCCCACTTTGAAACCCCATGGAATCCTTCCTTCAGGTCCAAAAGCTCACCTGCCACACACTCCACAGAAGCCCCCAACCCTTCCCATTTCTGCCCACCCATGTGGGCTCAGAGTGCACTGTGGCTTACTTTGAAGAGTCCCTTGAGCATGATGTCAATGATTTTGTACTGCTGGTTGACGTCATTGAGCTCAATCAAGTTCTTCAGAGCATTCATCTGGTCCTTGCGCTTCACCTCAAACAGCTTCTTATCTGCACTGCTGTCAAGGGCACTGTTGACACTCTCCCACCACACTGTTGCTCTCCCCCTCCTCCCCAGGGCCCCTGGCACCATCCCAGGCCCCCCAGTTCTCCATGAGGTGTCTGAGGGGCAGAACCTGAGCCAGGATAAAACACAGATTTCCAGTGAACCCCTTGCCCAAACACCCCAGCAGGGCCTTTAACAATGCTGAGACCTTGTGGGGAGCTTTCTACTTGCCAGTCTCTGCTCTGGCTGATGGGCTGGAGGAGGAACATCAACTGGCACCTTCCCCATGGGTCTCCACATATTCATTTTTTCATACTTTGCCTGTTCACCAGGAGATGTGTGCTAAGAAGGGCTTGCATTAGCTCACCTCCTCACAGGCAAAAAGTGCCTGTAGCACAGAGGAGACTAAAATGCCACAAGCAGAAGAATCCCCTTCCACCATCCCAGTTGGTGACCCCAGAGCACTGAGATGTGCAGGTGTGTTCTGCCTTCTGGCTGACCATGCCACTTCCAAGAGCAGACTGGAAATGTGCACAACGGAGCAGAAAGAACACCAGGCATCACTGCCATTTCTATTCCTGCACCAAGCCAGGCACTTGGTTAGCAAGCCCAGGAGCTTGGCTAAAGCCCAACTATAGAAGGACAAAGCAGCAACTTCCCAGTGCTTCTGGATCCTCTCTTTTCTACTTCCTTGTGCCCCTTTCCATGGTCTCTGACCTCTTCCCTGTGCATGTGCTCCCTCCAGCCTTTGTAGCCACTAGTGCATATGTGGTAATGGGTGGCAGGCTGCAGAGGATACAGATTTCCAAGCCAGAGTCTACTCTCTGTTTCTCCAGGTCTGTGAAGCTGCCCTGGGACAGCAGCAAGGCCAGTAGAAAGGGGCAGATGATGAGAAAATCCATGTTGGCCTCTGCAGCCTGGAAGAAAACAGACCAACAAAACCAATGATCAGTGAGGAGACTTATCAAAATGAGAAGTCACAAAGCCACCTGGAACTGATGGCACACTGCTCTTGGCACCAGGGTCCTTGCCCACCTCTCCCTTGTCCCCATGAGGGATCTAGTGGCCAGAGCAGAGACACATGGTGATGCTGCAGCCAGCTTGCTCTCCCCTGCAAGTGAAGCCCTGGTCTCCCTCTTCTCTCTGCCTGTCTGCACTGCCAGCCCCAGGCATCTGACCCAGCACTGACCCAATAGAAAATTTAAGACCTACCCCTTTTTCCAAAAATAACAGCTAGGTTTTTACTGGGTTTGTGAGGCAGAGCAGCCCAACAACCACAACAGAAGGTCTGGAAGGAAGAGAAGGATCACTGAGGGATTGAAGTCTATCTCTCCTTCAAGTCCCAACACAACCAGTTCAGTGACCTCCACTCAGCACTTGGGGTATTGGTACCTGGACTCTTTCCTTAACTACAAGTTGGGTGCCACCTGCAGGTCCCACACCAAGAAACAGTTGGGTGACCTGGTGGTAACTTCCCCCCACTTCCAAACAAGTCCTTTCCCAGGCAGCATCTGAGGCTTTGCAGGGATGCTCTTGGGCAGAACTGCTCCTGACCACAAAGGTCCCTCAGACAAAGTCAATGGCTGGAGGAAAAGGTCCTTGAAAATTAGGATCCTCTTGGACAGTCTATACCTGGAAAAGGAGAGCAACAGCTCAGTCCCCAGGCAGCAGAACTCAGGGTGGTCTGTCCTCAGGCAGAAGGTTTTCATGGAGGTGAGCACAGGCCACTGGCAATTACAAAAGCAACAGCTCCTTCAGAGACATCTGACCCACCTCCTGCCCCCAAAGGACAAGCAGATGTGTAAGGCCACCAGAGCCGACCTCACCCTATGACCCACTGAGTCCAAGTTTGCCTGCCCAAACCTGTCTCTGTAATGCCCTAACACTGAAACAAAAACAAATCCCTTCTTGTTCTTTTCTTGTTGCTTTTCTTTTTTTAAACAAATACAATTTCAACTCCAAGCCCATGAAAGAGGTAAAGCAGGCACCAGCAGTTCTCCCAGCCCTGCAAGGATCAGCAGCAGCTCCCACCATGTACCTCCTGCCGAGGTCAAGCCAAGCATCTTCACACCCCTGGCAAAGGCAGGAGAACAGTGTCAGACAAACATGAGAAACCCTATGAAATACTTTGCTGTTGTGCTTTGGAACAGACCAGAGTAAATACAACCAGCATTATTGATGAAGACATGGCTGCCCCTGGTGTAGGCTCAGCAATGTGCCCCATGTTTCTGTTCTGACACAGTGCAGAGCCAGGACAGCAGCACAAATCCCCATGCCAAGTTTGGGGTCTGTCCCCTTTTCCCACTGTGGTGTGAGGCTTAAGCCATATTCCAGCCATCCTGAATGCCACAAAGCACACCAACAAGCCAAGGCTGTAAAGAAAATTCTCCAGCCCAGGCAAACAGATGTTCTGTTGGACCTACCAGCCTGGTCAGCTTCCAAGAGACTGCTTCACCCTGCCAAAAACCATAACCCAAGGACCCAGGGCCTGGCTCAGTGAGGTGGCACAGGTCTCCCCTCTGCAGAGCACCCCAGCTGCTCACTACCTCCCAGGCTCTCAGGGAGGAGAAAGTGCAGCAATGCAAAAGCACAATGAGCGACTCCCCTGGGACGAGGCTCTTCTTTGCCCCTCAGATCACACATACCATCATAAGGATTGGCTGGCTATTTGCCATGCTCATGGAGAACTGGAAAGAGAAACTGGAGATAGCCAGTGGCCTCCAAACCAGGTTGGAAGGCAAAGAGCAGAACACAACAGCTCTGCCATGCTGTCTGTGGCAGTCCCAGCATGCCTGGTTAGGACAGGGGCTTCAGTATCCCCCATTTCCAACACTGGAGTTGGGTGGCCATAGGATGTTCCACAGGTGCAAGAGGGGGGAAGATGAGCTGCAAAAAACCCTGTTCCAGGCAGCAGCAGAGCAAAGCACAGCTCTCGGCTGAAACAGCTGCCAACCAGGCGGCTGCTGCAGCACAAGGGCCACCAGCCTGCCTGGCTGCTTCCGAGTCCCGCAACGGTGATGGGCTTCATCAGAGACACAACAGCAGATGCAGGGGTAGGGATGGTCAATGTATTCAGATCCTCCTACACCAGTCCTAAAGATTGTCCCATGGGACAGGTCAGAAGTAGAGGACTGGAGAACCACATCATACTGGAACCCCATCACCTTTTAATCTGATCTGATGGCACTCATTCTCACATCAGAGCTATTTATTTGCTATTGTCCATCAGGGCTGAAACATGCTGGTGAAAATGAAGAATGAAGCAGGGCCCTGTTGTTTCTCTCACCCACAAGGAACTCAGGGCTGCTGATGCCATGTAGGACCACCTCAGATTTCTTTCCTTTCACTGCCCTGGCAATTTCACCCCATTTTAACAGCAGAGGACATTCCTTCCTCTCCAGGCCACACTATGTAACAGCAGAGATGGCAAAGCTCCTTGCAGATGTTCCTCCCCACAAACTCTCTCTCATGTCTTCACACCCGCTGAGGGATGAGATGAGACACAAACACTGCAGAGCTGCTCCTCTCTTCCCTCCCTGCTCCTCCCTCAATTGATTTCTGCCAGAGACAGCTCAGCCTGATGTTCCCAGAGCGGTCCAGGGAACCAGGGCCTGGCCTGATGCTACAGATGGAAAGGAGTTTCCACCAACATCACCTTGCAGCCCTGGCCAGCTGGCTGTTTCAGCAGCAAGCCCACCAGTCTGTCTCACTGTCTACCAACCTCTTAATTTAGATGTGTTTTTCCAAAGACATGACAACAGATGCCATGTAATAGATGGTTAGTCCTTCCCATTAAAATGTTTTCAATTACTATATAAATTTTCCTGCAGGAGCCCCATCTGAACCAAGCATCCCTGAGATTTATTCACTTAATGAGCTTGCAAGGCAGAGCCACGCTGCAATGATGTGGTTCCCAGGAGAAACTTTTGCATGACCCCCCTACTTCTCTTCTGCAGGCACTGAAATGTACGGGGGAAAGCATCATCCTTCACCAGGAGCATGCTGTGGCAAAACAAGGAATGAAAACTCCCTACCCCATTAATCCATTCCTGAGGTGCTCCTCCAACAACCAGATGAGGATTAATCTTTTGTTACAGGTGAACCAAAAGCTTCAGAAGTGAAACACCTCTGCTCAGACTCCTCTAGGAGGACATACCTATATGGGGTTTACGGGACCAGCTGCTCCAGTTGAAACAGTACTGGCCATTTACACCTGCTCGTCTCCAAAGTCTCCCAACCACTAAGCCCAGAAGGTCGCCTACCACACGGTTTGGCAGCCCCGATTAGGAAATCGCGGCTGTGATTTCCAGCAGGAATGGGTCCATTCCAGCCCACCCTCGTGCCTCCCGTCGTGCCGGAGGGGTTCAAGAAGCACCCTGTGGGGCTCGGGCGGCCGCTGGCACAGGAGATGAGGATTCTCCCGCAAGCTCCGCTGAAAGTAAAGGCGATCACACGAGGACGGTGGAAAGGGGACTAGCCGAACCTACCCCGGCCGCGCTGCGGGAAACCCACCCGGAGCCGTGTCAAGTGGACGTAGCAGGCGGCACAGGGCAGGATGCGAACCCTCGAGGGGGCCGGTCCGCTCCTCCCGCGGCTCCAGCGCGGGGCGAGCCGGCGGCGATGGCAGGCAGAGCCCGTCGGGCACAGCCCTTTAACCCAGGGTGCAGAGGGATGCTCCGGGGCCGCACTGCCCGCCCCGCTCATAGGCCATCCCGGCTGCCCCGGCGGGGGCCCATCCCGGGTCTCGCCCAGGGAACACCGGGCACCTCTGCCCCGTCCCCCGGTGCCCCGGGAGCGGCCCCAGGGCTGCTCCCGCCATTCCCTCCTGCCCCGCCACGGCCCCGCCGGGCCTCCCGGGGCGGGGATGGCTCCCGGGCGGCGCGGCCGGTCCCCCACCTGCGGGCCGGTGCCGGTGCCCGGCCGGCGCTCACGCCCGCCGCGCTGCCATGCTGCTGCTGCTGCTGCCGCCGCCGCTCCGCCCCGCTGTGTCACTTCCTGAGCCCCCGCCCCGCCCCGGCCACGCACCGGCTGGCACTTGGAGGGTCTGGAGGCAGCAGGACAGCGGCGGCCAGGGCTGTAGTCGAAGGGGTCACTCGTGTCCTGGAAAAAGCCTCCTCATCCCTAAGAGACACGTAGTGTATCTGCTTCCCCGGCGATCCTGGCTGAGCCCCCGCCGCGCCTTCCAGCCCAGAGCAAAGGGACCACCCTTCAGCCCCGTGAACCAAGGGGAGTGAGCAGAGCACCTCTTCCACAGCATCCCTGTACGACATCGTTTCCCCAGGCAGGTCTGTATTTTGATAGATGACCGGCATCAACCAAGCCTTATCCCGCACAGAAGGGGAAACTGAGCCATTCCAGTAACAGAACTTTTTAATTTCAACAAACCTTTTTCTCAAAATGAGCAACAAGTAACTTCCTTTGTCCAACTTCTCCCTACTACTCACTGGGAATTAATGGCAGGATGGGATCCAGGATGGGGTCTCCTGCTACATTCTTGCTTTGTTCCTCTGCTCTTTGCACTGTATCTTCTCATTTCAATCTCCAATGTGTGAGAGGGACACTGCCACACTTCCCAGACATCTGTCATTTACAGCATGAATGGAAACCAAAGGAAAGGCATGCACACTACGGGAACTCCCACATTTGATGTATCACTGACAGGAAGTTTGCACTGCTAAACCAACCCTCCCCAAGCCATGGAACCTCACTCCCAACATATGTGAGAAACATCTGTGTAGGTAAACACGAAGAAAAGTCAAAGCTCCATTTTGACCAGTGGATTTTGTCTTCTGTGTCCATGACTATCTTATTCATATAGCCCCACTGCTGCACTTCAAGTGCATCTAAAATCCTTCCTAACCCCCAAAATTTGAAGGTTTCTTAATATATTAAATAAGTCAGAAATTAAAAGTAACTTCAGGAATGTAACAAAAACTCCCATCCAAATTCCTTCATCCCTGTACAGGAAAGGGACTTCATGGCCTCCACCAGGACAACTTTCCCTCTGAGTGTCCCACAACAGAGCAGTACTATCACATTGCGGGTAAGCATGTGGACAAACTGCTCCTGACAGGACAAACACCTCATCTACCACGTACCCTACACATGGCTGATGATAGTGCCCTACAGTAAAGGAAGTCCCCACACCCACAGGAAATCACCGCCACACGTCTGAGGAAATGAAGTGTGATGAAAACAGGAAGGCAAAAAAAAGCTTGAGAAAAAAACAAATACTGCATCAGGTTCCCTCTTTTTCCACAAGGCATCTGGGAGTGGCCTTTGCCTCCATTGCCAGAGAAGAGGATTTAGATTGCAGTAGAAGACTCTAGGGCCAAACAGAATAAAATCTGGTAATTCCACTCAGTGGTTCCCAAATGCTCTGTGCATTTGGAAAGTGCCTGAGTCATATTTGAGTTTCCACTACTTCATGGACATACTGGCACTAGGTGGCACGCAAACAGAGATTAACTCATTGCTCATCCTCCAGGGAAATCAATACAGGGATTGTTACTGCTTTGAAGTCAGAGGCTCCCAAGCCTGCTACCCTTTCATCAGACCACCTCTGCTTTATAGATGAATGCAAGCCCAGCACACAGAGCCTTCTTTAATCCCAATTGTCTCCTCATGTCCAAGATGTCCAAGATGTCCAAGATTAGGACATGATGAAATCTTTCATCCCACAATTAGCCAAGTGTAGAGTTTTTCAATATTGTTTCAATTTTCAATTTTCAGAGTTTTTCAATTTTTTTTCCCTTCAGCTGGAACAAGAGAAGAAGCAGCAAATTCAGTATCCTTTCTAGCTCTTTTACACTTGCCACACACATTAGCTATCAAAGGATACACAATGTTCTGATGCTTTACACACATAGTACTCTGTCCCAAGAGGCGATCCAGCAAGGTCTGAATGATCCCTGACTGTTCTGGCTCCACCTGGTAATGACTATTCTGAATCTGAGGGGTCAGAAAAAAAGAATGATTTTCAGAACAACATAAAACTGTTGGCTTGTTCCTTCTACTCCCTCCCTCATCTCCACACAGACCAATGAGATCTTCAAAGGCCAAAGCAAACACCTAGAGATTCCTGTTTTCCTAAGAGTCACTGCTCTCTTACCTGAGAAAGAAAGAGGTGAAGAGCATGAGACGTGGCCTCAGGCAGCTCTGCTATATTGGCTTCTGCTGCCTCCTGAATAATCTGGCTAATTTCTTTTTGAGAAATAATATTGCTGCTCTGATATCTCACAAACTTGAACAAAGGAAAAAATAGAGACATTAAACAGTAGAAGACCCACAGAGCACAACAATGACTCATCATTTGCAAAGACCTCTTCTGTGCACCACTACTGCAGCACCTGAACCACAGGCCTGATTTTTATACCACTTCTAATGGAACCAGTACAAGTATCTATGTTGATGGTGCTCTGATTCATAGCCACACTTATTTTGGTCGAAGCTGGGAAGGAACTAAAATAAATGAGGTAGCCTTTTAAAACTGAAATAACAGCAAATACTCACAGACCCATCTTATATTTTGAGGGGGAAGGTTCACTTTAATAACTCCTTCATCTCATTCACTGCCATGAGGGCTATATATCCAGTATTTATACTGGGTAGGATCACATTCCCCCTCTAGCCCACGGACCCCACATACAGCAGGGTAGAATATTGCATTAACTCCTTGCCCTGAAAAGTCAGGTCTGTAAGGTCAAGATGGTAGACAAGCTGCGATGCCAAGCAGCCAACTTGCTCCCTGACTGGTAACAGCAGTTGCATGTTCTCTGCAAGTTTCCCCTCTCCTCCCCAGGGATCCTAGATGATATAAATAAATGTTACCAATATCAGAAGAACAGGAGGTGCTCACTAACAGCAGCCAGTTTCTGCAGGGTGTGGAAGTTCACTTGAAAGTATCACTATTAATATAGGGCAGGAATACAGTCCCAGGCAAAGCCACAGCAGTATCAGAGACTGTGCTGCATAGCAGGTTAACTACCAATAACCGGCCCATGTGCGTTGTACCAACGTATTGGGAAAGATGGGGAACAGCCCACCCTTCTGCTGCTCACCAAAGTCATCATTCTGAGAACTTCTGGCTGCAGAAAGGACTTCTGGCCCCCACTGAGTAGTGTGAAGAGCAGGAATCGGTGCCATGGCTGTGAAGCAACATGCAGAGCTGGAAGAGAAGGAGAAGCCAATCAAAGACAGCTGAAAAACTGCCAAAGTGACAGGCTGAACCCAGCTAAGGACAGTCTTCAATACTGACCCCAACTTTTCTCTCCCAGACCCCACACTGTGAACCACTAAGGGGATATTTTGCACTGTTCTTACTTGCTTTTCCATCTGTCACTCTCTGGGCAAGAGTTCAGTCAAGAGGACAAAAGCTTAATAGCTTTTTAAAGCAGAAAATACATATTGTCCGTCTTTGTGCTGGTACAGGAAGAGAAACCTTCTCCTGGGGTATATGTCATAAAACAGTGAGAGAATATCTTTAGCCTAGGGTTTTAAAAATAATACCAGTTTCAATATGAGGACATCTCTCCTGACCTCAGTTTTTATTTAGCTGCAGAATACCCTTTGGGTAATGAAGAAAGCCCTATAACAGAAGCTGAACAAACTGAGGCTGGACCTGCATCAGACAGTGGACTATGGGGACCAGCCAGGCTGATGGTAGCAATGCAGTGAGTAGAGAAAATGTTCTTACTAAAGAACATACACAATAACATAACATGTATTAGGTAAGACCATAAGGCTATGATGGCATGAAGTCTTTCACTGAATGCTTAAATTAAAACAATATTACCTTATATTTATTACAGGTTAGGAGCATGAGATGGACAAATAAATCAACTGATATAACTTGTTATACTATAGCAACTCAGAGTATTGAAAAGGTCTCTTTTCCACTGGCAGTCACATAACCTCCCTATTGCTACTACAAGAATTTTTCCTATAGGAAAACAACACTGAAAAATAACGTAAAATATTTTGGGAATATCTTTTATCTGGGGAAAATGAGAAAGGACTAGCACTGTGCATGAGCCTGCACATTTGGAAATATCTCTGGACAAAAAGAGGGTTTTAGAAAGCCTCAAGTGAGTCAACTCCTAGAGGCAGAGGCCAGGACAGACTCTTTCCAGTCTTCTTGCATTTTTAAGCCAAATAAAGCTATGACGGTCATTCTGCTTGGAATAAAGAGACTCCTGTTATTGCTGTTATGACCTTCAGCACCACAGCAGCCAAAGTGACAGGTTCAGCTGTTCCTGCAGCAGCATTTCATTAGTTTAATCCCAAATCAGCAGAGCCTCCCCATAACGTTTTTTTTATTATTATTATTCAGCCTTTTATAAGCCTCCCTTCAGCTACTGACTGTCATTCATCTGCAGTATTACATCTTTATCCAGCCACTTCCTCTCTCCCACCAGTGTCCCTTTTGCCTGGTGTTCATTCAGTCCATTCCCTTCTCTATTAGTGTTTAAACAACTGCAGCAAACAGGTCAGGGTACAGAGAACCTCCTGGTTTAAGAACAGAGCCAGCACCTGGACTTTGTTGCAGGAGGCTGACAATAAGCAGAAGGGTCTATTCTTCCCCTCCAACTGTACAATGCAGTCACATTATGTTATACTGAAAACATTGGTATATATTAGGTCTGACATGTACTCTGGAAACCAAGGTCCGAACTCACCCCCTGAAATCCAGAATTTCCATCTTCCATTCCCTAAGGCTGCCTAGTATCCTGATCTCCCTTCCCTTCCTTCAAGGCCAAACAATGACCAACACTGCCTTTTTGTAAGACACATCATATTCAGAGCCTCCATCCCATATGCTTATGGTCTAAAGGTTTGATACAATTGGCCTGAAGGTCAAAGACAATTCCTATACTCCTTCCATTCCCAAACCTTTCCCTGTTACAGGGTTGGAGAACTACTTTTTGCCTTTTGGAAAGCACCTTGGTGTCGAGAGCCAAAGTGAAGGTTCATGCCTGTAGGGGAGCATTCCCACAAAGCATTAATATTAACTTTAGGCACTCAAATATTTTTTCTTGTTTGGCATAAACTGATTACACATTTTCTCTAGAGTGCTACTGGATAGAGAATAAAGAGCTTAAAATCCCTGCAGGAGGGGAACTAGGAGAAGAAAGAGCATGAAAACGTTACCAACATCCTGGTTCTTCACATACAGGTATTCCACTAAGGTTTCTAGGCAGGCAACCACTGCCTGAGAGAGCGGCAAGTCTTTCTGGAACAGCAAGAAAAAAAAAGTCAACAGCTATTGCAAGAAGAAATTTCATGAAGTGTCAGGATCAGAAGAGTATGCAGCACAGGAAAATAACACCTTTCATCTCCTTCAAGGAATGCAGTGTGCTGCAAATTATCTGTCACATCAAGAAGCCAGACAGAGGTACGACTACTTCTTTTGAGACTAAAAATAGTAAGTAACAGCCTCCAAAGAATAAAGATAGGAACCCAACACAGTTTAAGAGTTAAACTCATGTACTACCCCTGGAGTCCAGCATCACTTGAGCAAGTTAAAGGTATGCTAATGCACTCACTACCCCCAAAAGCACCTTATCAGGGACATGGGGGATGGACTGGGATTTGTTATACATTTCCCACATCTGTCCCTATGGATGTGGCATCCCTGCAGAGAAAGAGATGGGAAGACAGAAATTGTCATTAGTACACAGAATTTCAGCTACCCAGTTGAGCAGCAGGGAGCACCGCATAGCTTGATTTACCTTCTTTCTCACTGCACTGTGCTGCAGCAAGAGCATTTTCCCTCCTCCTCATCACAGGTCTGTAAGGGGTGGAAAATGCAGGGAGAAGGCAAAAAAAGCAGGCAGCCCCTTTGATTCTGCAGCAGGGTGGTTTATCCTCAGGTTAATGTTCCTGCTTGAAGCCCAACATTACTGCTTTTTCAAAAGTCATATTTTATATACCTGCAACTGGACATGCACCAGAAGGTTCTGCAGACTGACAACAAGAGAGAAGACCTGCTGCATGGCAAGGGGGTGCAAGGCACTGTCCTGCAGTGATGATGGCTGTGGTTGAGTAGCACTTGGGGCTGTGTTTTGGCCAGCTATCACCAGCAGGGAGGAGGAGAAGTTCTGTCGCAGAACAGCTCTCAGGAACTGCATGATGCTCACTAGACAGGAAGATGCTTATTAGTGTGTGTCAGTGTTTTTCTCTGCTCTACCTTGTGTGTCGGTGCCTGTACAATAGCATGGGAGAGGGTGACGAGACAAAATGTGAGCTTAATAGCCCACCAGAGTTGCCTGGCAGCTGCTGACAGCTGTAAAGAGGAATGGCAACATGAGTTTCTTTGCTCTTCTTCCTTGAGACACTAACACAGTTCACAGTCAGTTCTAGATGTCACTACCAACCTCCAAAGATCTGTCCAAACACAGAAGAACTACAGAACTTCCCCTTTCTCCCTTCTCACCACCAGTTACACATTTACAAAATCATATAGACCAAAGTTTCCAGATTACCTCTAGCACCCCCACCACCCCAATCCACAGTCACCAGTCCTCCCTTGTTGCTTGTATCATGGTACTAGTGGCTGTTTCCAGAATAAGCCCCCTAACAGATGCAAAATACCTAACAGCAGGACTGGCTTCTTATTCCTGAAGATGACTGCATTCACGACTTCTGTAAGGTCTACAGAGAGGGTTTGGTGAACCTAGAAGAGAATTAAATAGAAGAAAAAAAGTGGTGCTGGTTTGGAACAGCTAGAAAGCTCCATTATGTACTTCTAGTTCTTAGACAGAACCCTATGATGACCACTGAAAACCGAGGGAACAGCAACAGGGTTTCAGGAGGCTGACACAGAAGGGAGAGTTACATCATTGGACCCTTATGTTTCACTCACCACTAGTCTGAGCTGCACAGCTTCCAACCACAGTCTTGTTCTCACTACTCCCTGCAGGACCTCTGGCATGTGGCTGCCAGCCTGCCAAGTATATGAAATGGCAGAAACAGCCACCACCAAGGTGCCTCTATCTTAGCCACAGAGCCAGGCAGCAAGACTGAGGAGCCAGGCAGTCAAAAACCAGCAGTGGCCAGAAGCTGCCCTTGTCTGCTGGAGCTAGGGCCTGCCAAGAGCCCAGGAATAAGAACTATTGCATGGGTGAAAGTGGCAGAGGAGTTTAGGGACTTGGGAACTAAGCGAAACAGGAAAGGTCAGCTTGAGAGGGAAATCTGCAATACATTGTTTCCTTCAAAGAACAGCCATTCAAGAGCAAGGGCATGAAGCCTCAGAGAACACCAGAAGGGTTTGAACTCCTCAACAAGACAGAGAGTTGATATAGGAAGGCAGGCATAAGGATCACAGGGCTGATTCCTTTAAATACTCTCTGAAGAGAGAAATATTCCACAGAGAACTACAAGTAGCTCCTGCAACATGGTGGCAGTGGCTACTCATCTTAGAGCTGACAAGCCAAAGTATCTAATAGCCTGCCATCCATGAGCCCTGTTTATTCACAGGGTAAAGCCAGCAGTAACACAGTTAAAATGTAAGTTGGCTATGGCCAGACAAATCCTCACTATTAACATCAGCCTGAGATGAATGTGGCCATTTCTTGAAGCCACTGCTCTCCTCTAAAAAACTGCAGGCTCAGGGAGACAGCCCGTCATCAGGTCACATTCACAGCCACAAAGTTGCTCTTATGAGAGTCTCCAGGATACTTTGTTCAGCTCTAGCTACACTGAACAGCAGAAAGAAGCAAAAGTGACTCTTCTGCTTCTTCCCCTTCAGCAGAAGATTAGAAACACTGACAATTAGAAATGCTGAAGATTAGAAACATTGAAGCAGTCTTGAACCATTTCCACTTCCCAGCTGTATCTGTAGTTTCTCTCCTCATCTCTGATGCAAAAACATTTCTGAGTTGTATATCATAGCAAGTCAAGCCAGTGGTATTGATAAAACCAAGCAACAGCCTTATAAGCTGCTAAATGATTGTACTTCAAGGATCAATACAAGCTGAGAGCATCACTCCCAGAAGATGAAGCTCAATACTTGACATTTGACACTAGAACATCATTTGGGAACTGGCACAGCACCAGACACAGCCCTGACTGAGAAACTGAGAAGGCACGCTGTACTTAGCAGCTCACAGAGCAGGACCAGGCTGCATTCCCACAGCTGACAGTCTGTACAAGTATCATGCTCTAAGCCCTAAGCAGAGGTTGCAGGCTGACAAAGTAATGGGTGAAAACTTGGTCTGGGCTGGTCTTCTGGAATAATCTTCCCTAAGCATTAGAAATCCAACTCTTGCTTTTCTGTGCACATGTATCCATGTCCTTAATGTGATTTTATCATCTGTAAACAGCTGTACCAACTCCCAGACAGCATACTCTGCTGGGCATAACTGCAACAGCAGAGCTCACAACTCATGACATCCTCTCTGATATTTCCAGAGATATTTCCAAATGTGCAGAGCCAATCATAACTCCATATCAAGAGAGGTCTGGGTAGATACTTCAAAAGGAAGTATTTTCCTTTGTATTTGCATTGGAAAATGCTTCCTTCAAAGTTGTAATTCCATTAATAGCTGACAACTCCAGTTTAGATGTCTTATTAGACTGCAAAGCACCAAATACAATGACAGCTGCCCACATTCGTAAGAGCTTGCTAATATTGAACACTTACTTGCCAATAATAGGTTCTATTCCACTATTGATCATTTTAGTAACAAAAAAAGCTGTTTACAACATGGGAGTTGTGCCTTTCACCCCCCAGTCTTCCCTTGAAAAAGGTTTTAAAATGTATTTTGCTCTGTCCTGAAGAGGAAAGTGATTTAGATCAGGGAGGCTGGGAATGCACTTCTTCCTACAGGATTTGCGCCCCTCTAACTCTTGAATGATTTGTGTCTCAGACCTTCAGGGACATGCTAGCTTCCAGTCCTGCTGGAGAGGTGCAGCAGGGAATAACTTAACTTGTGGACAATAACAAAAGAGAAATCAACACAATCAGATTACAGGCCAAAGCAAAATACTTTCATATATATATATATATATATATATATATATATATATACACACATATTTATTTTTAAGGTTTATCCATGTGCTGACTCTGAACACTAGAGTGGTTCTAACCTCAGTATTGTAGCGATGCTGATAAAGCAAAAGGGATGCTACCAACAGCCATCCAGAGCACAGCAAGGCATCCTCAGATGACAGGCAGGCAGGTCTGGAAGGAGAGGACCACAGCCAGGTGCATTCCAAAACCTTCTGCAGGAGTTCTAGCAAGGACACATTGGAGAGCAGCACAGCCACTGCTGCATGAGAGAAACAATCAGAGAGGGTGATGGGATGGCACAGGTTAAACCAGCTTGACAAGCACAACAGAAGTGCACAGCACATCCCTGCTTCAGCAAGGTAGCCCAGCTGCCACAGCTCATCTGAATAAGGCTGTCCAGCTACTCATCTCCCAGAGCAGAAGCAACTGCTCAGCCAGCTAATCAGCTAACAACACAATAGGAAAGTCAGTTAGAGCTTTTCCCTAGTATTGCTTAATTTTTTTTTTTAACTATGACAATAGCAGGATATTTCAAGCTAGGCTGAAAAGGCCCATTGCTGTGTTTATGAATAAGAAAAATACAGTGATTCTGTTTTTCAGCAGCCAATTCTTGAATCATCAGAAGGCAACAAAACCAAACTCCTCAACCTAAAAAATCTCATCCAAAATACAAAATGGTCTTTAATTATAATGCTGTGTCTGGATGGGGAAACATCCACTTTATCTGCTAAAACAGTTAGAATACAGTCTGATTGTTAAGCTACAATGACACTGAATTTAACTTAGCAATCAATACAATCTTCCCTCACCTCTCTGTTGACTGCAAGGTGTTGTCTGATGAAGGCTCCAGTACAGAAAATTCAAGGATGGCTGCAGGAGGTCAGTGTCCCTTGGCTTGCATTTCCCACAGAGATTACAGACTAGAAACAGAAGGACAGGTGTAACAAGGACACCAACTTAACAGAGCACCTCAGCAAATGAAAGAAGTCACTCAGTGGGGAGGGAATTCAAACAAAGTGAAAATAAACAGAGCATAGCACAGACAAAGCTACAGTGTTTGCTTTAGACAGGACAGTGCACTGGAGGATGAGTACAAAGTGGGGAGGGGAATTGAAGAAGGTGCATTAGAGTGCATATATCACATCAGGCAGTAATGAATCCTAGAGCAACAGACTTTAGGTTATCTGTTTCCACAGTGAAAAAAACTGCAGTGTGAGTTATCTGTTTCCACAATGTGAGTTTGATTCTAGTACTAGAGCAAGTATAAACAACAATGTGACTGTCTCTCTCATGGTGACCAAACTGGGGAAAGTCATGGAGAACTGTGTTCCTCCATTCTCACCAACTTTGCTCACACTAGGAGTAAAATGTCATATTTGTTGTAACCACCAAACACTTACCAATAATGTTTAGTAAGAGTTAGGGAGGGAAACCCAGGACTGCAGGACTCAGTAAAACTGCCATCAGAGATCTTTTGGAGAGCTTACAATTTGAGTAAGCAATTCTCAAAAAACATGCACCATGCCCTTCCATCTAATAAGCCTCATTAGAGAAGAGTGTCTTGCATATCCACCCCTAGAGAACACAGTCTGGAGGCCAAGGGGCAAATAAACAGGGTGGCTGAGGTAGGGAGAGAGTTGTGCAGAAAAATACAAAGCAAAAAGCAAGAGCAAAGAGGCTTGTGACTCCTGGGAGAAGCTGAGCTGTGTTCTAAAATCACAGCAGCTAAAAAGGCTGGCATCAAGAGGGCATGGTTCTTCCACACCCCCAGTTCCCACAGCTGATGACTGTCTGAGAAACACTGCTTCTTTACAAGGCCAACACAGGCAGACCTGAGGTATGAAACATTTCAAACTGAAGGGGATAGTCCTTCAAAGTCTGCTGGAGAAACCAATTTGTCAGAGCAGGGAAGAGATGAGAGGATGGATCAGCAGAATTTTCCTCCTAGTATCTATTCTTTTTTCACAGCCTATATGAACCTCCAACGGCCAAGTAAGAAGGCAGAAGTCACCAAGTAAGGATTGCCAGACAAGGTAGTAGGTTATGGTATGGCAAACAAACACAGCCTGCTCTTCTATCTTTGGGATAGAGTGGGCAAGCCCTGCAGATGGTTGGGGGCCATATTCTCTGGATTCACATTCCAAGGAAAGCCCATTTTCACTAGACTGCTGTTTTCTCATAGCTGATTAACAGAACAAGACTGTGGCCTGAATCCCAGAAGACTGTTATAGCAAGAATGGACAGGAAAGGGTGATTCAGGAAGCACACCAGCCATGCAGTCATGTGCCAAAACAACAACAGTCACTGACCCCAAAATCATGTCATGGTCAGGGGAATACTTTGGCCACCTTGTGAGGTTTCAGACAAAAAAAAAAAGTGTTGTAAAAGCAAGAGGAAGAGAACCTGGGTCTTGTTAACTGAATTAGTTACCACAACTCTTTACAAGGCTCTGGCTATGAAAGCATCTCAAAGCAAACATTAATATAATGCAAGGTCAATCTTCTCTCAAAAGACAAAGAGCAAACCCCTAATCCTATTATTACAAATACTATTAACAAATACTTCCCTGGGAGAAGATGGATGCACATACTCACCCTGGTGAAGCAGCTTGAAGTCTGTGCTGTCCAGCTCCCTTATGCCCTTGCTTCGCAGCTGCACCAGGAAAAGAAGGTTCAGCAAAATAGGCAGGTTCCTGTTAGCTAAGAAGGACACAGACAGCTTAGCTTGTCAGTGAACTCCAAACTGTTGTACCTTAAAGCGTGCCAGGAACTGTTAATTTTCTGGCTCCAGAATAAGGACACACACATAGAGCCCCAACTTCATTCTCATCTCTACAGTCCCCTCTGGATCAGGTCCCCTTTCTGTCACTCTGGCTTGGCCCGAGTCACACCTGAATCATGCCAACACCATTTTAGGAGCAACTAAAGAAGGGGGGAAAAAAGGCTAGGGTCATTCACACCCATCATGAGCTATGCAGGGAGCATGTTCCTTACACTTTGAAAATGATACTGCTAATAAACTAGAAGTCATTAGCCCTTTCTAGTCAGCTCCCTTCCTGCCCACTTGACCATCACTGCTACACTTTTGACAGCAGCCCAGCTGCACAGCATTTGTTCTCTTCCATCTTGTGAGGCTGGAAAAATTCCATCCATTCTATCCCATAAGGAAGGGCAGAGACAGAAGTGAGAACCCCACACAGCAGGCCTGTATGTAAGGAAAATGGGGCTACCTAGACCACCAACACTCCAGGGCAATTCTCTCCCTACTATTCACTTTTTTGCAGTGCTGTAAAGGGTTAAAGGTTTTGTATTGTATACCACCATACCTACAGCAAGCAACTATCTGTTGCTCCAGTGAACATTTTCACAAAGGCTCTAGAGTCTTCACTTTTGAGGACGAAACATTTATGGGTGTCTTTAATGTTAACATATTCCTGATGGAGTCCCACTGTTGGGCCTCTTTCTTGTCTAAAATCAGTCTACTGTTTGAATAGGGATGCAGGACTGGACTTAACTACCCTAGACCTCACAGAGAGCTGTCTGTGTGCTGGGAGAAAAGGAAGTCTGTCTCCAGAGTACATCTGGTGTTTGACTTTATGGATGGGTTGCCAGGATATCACTTAACAAGTTCAAGATGCAATACAAAGAAGAGCTATGTGTATTAGCAGCAGCAGAAGGGCTGAAATCTTGCAAAAGCTCCTATAGCTCGGTGTCCTACCTCCATCACCAGTGAGTGGTTTGGAGGAATACATCTGACTCCCTACAGGAAATGGATACTTTGCCTCCCCACAGTTCCTGGCACCCCTAGATTAGCAGCAAAAGGACACACAAGTTCAAATGTGCACAACTCCAAACAAGATCAGATCTAGCAAACCTTGTAGCCGCATGCTCTATCATGCTCCTGCTTTTGATGCCCCTCCTCCAGACTACTGACTTTGCTGGAGGTAAGGCAAAAACGCTTTCCTGCTTGTTATCTCCATCCCAACTGCTGCACAAAAAAAACACTTGAAACATAGGAAAGCTGTTAAAAGCATCAGTGGCCCCCTCAGGAACAAGTAGAAGTTGTGCTAACTCCCAATCCTAAAGGAGCCAAGGACATCCTAGTGCTGCTCCCTCTTTCAGTTCAAGCTCACAGAACGGTTTGCATAGCACCTTTCTCGGGTACCCCAACAGATGGGGTAGTAAAGAAAATAGGGATTTCCCCAGTCACAGCCTTGCTCCCTTTGAGAGATTTAACAGTTATAAGATCTGGTGATACCACAGTCCCAGTTTGGCGATCAATATAATGAATTATTCAATCCTTGCTCCTGGTTTCCGTGTCCTGGGAACTGTGTATACTCAGGCACATCCAGCTGTTTCACACAAAGAACAGGCAAAAAGGAGGACATCTTTCAGCCACCACTTGGGCCCCTATTCAAGCAGGAAGATTTACCAGCACAGATCTCCATTTCAACACTGACATCAGCATAAAAGAACCTTGCCTTGGTTTAGCAATCACAGTTTGAATCCAGAGCAACCTAAATGAGAAAAAAGGCTCTCACTTCAAAATGAATCTCTGAAAAAGGGAACTAAATTAGTACAGTTCTGTCCATAAATTTCCTTATGCAGGTAAGTACTGAAGCTACATCAGCAGTCCAAAACCACTTTATCCCAGACTGTGTCCCTACAGCTAGTTAATCTTACAGCAAGACCAAGTCAGAGAGGTGAGGTCACCTTGTAGGGTGGCTGAGCTGCTCTCTACCAGAAGCTGCTGCAGAATCTGTAAAAATCGGCTCCGAAGCAGATCACAGACAAGAACATCCTCATTTCTTTCCAGAAAGGTCCTTAGAGTCATCAACACCTTCCAAGCCACTTCCACAGAGCTTGAGCAGACCAGGTCCTGCACAGGAAGAAACAAACACATTACCTTTCTACCCAGATTAGGCAGAAGCCACCGCTATTTAATACCATTATGCTAATCTGGTGCCTTGGGAAACAGCCTAATAAAGCACTATTAAGTATGTCCTCATTAAATAGAGAACTGAATAAAGCAGAAGGACTCATGTCTGTTAGGCACCTCTGAGTAAAATCCCATTTAAAGAATGATTTGGCTCTGTAAGTGTAAGGGTATCATACATTTAAGGTCACAGTTTTAGACAAGGGAGACCTAAACAAGAGAACAGAATCTCTGGCACCTCTGCTCTCCTTGTTTTTTGAAAAATCAGCTTGCACATTAAAGATGCTTGTCTAAAATCAAGCTTATGAGTCAGTTCATAGTTCCTAACTTTCAAAAGGCTGGCAGCCTTGTATATGCAGTAGTAACATAACTAAACTGCATGAAACATATATAAGCTGGGCAAGCAATCGATCACAGGAAGGGGAGAGTCATGTACAAAGTTCACAAGCCTGCCGCTTGACTACAGGGCTCTGTCTGGAGTCTCTGAGCTGAATCCCAAGCCAGTAGGCTTAACTTGGGCATAGTCTTCATGTTGAGGTACATAACATCAAATTCGCTTGCACAGCACGTACAGGAGGCAGTTGTTTAAATATCAGACAGAAAATGCCTGGTAGTGCTGATATAATATGACCATCTCAACACATATTAGGTCAGCACAACCTTTCTTCTCTTCCAGCAGTAGTCCTGGCTACTGCATTGCAACGGTAGAGTTGAAGAGGTAAACAGGAAACTGGTCTCAGCAACTGAGCCTACAGCCTGCCTGGACAACTTGCTGCCTCTCCCAGCTGCCTTCCCCTATCACACAGCAGTTATGCATCCAGATGCCCATGATGCAGAGAAAATGGCTGTGGGACCCCATACCCAAGGAAAGCAAATAAGCTAAGAACATGCTGGCTGTGCCAGAAAAAGCTCTAGTTCTGAGCTGAATTCCTGCCTCTAGCAGAGACTTTCATAAATAAAGGGCTGGGAGATGTCTGCACAATCATCTCTGCTATCTCTGCTGACATAGATCTGCTTCATATGACATTCAGGATTGTAATCTAACGTCTCTGTTCTCTGAGAGAACACCTCAGACCTGGAACATGGAGAAGGCAAGTCAGACAGCATGTCATCATGACTACATTCACATCCAGACGAACACACAGAGCACAAAATAACATGAACCTATGGCCATAGCCTTTCTGGTCCTGGCAAATGCACCATTATGTTAATCAGTTCCTTCCTACCCAGAAGCTCAAGGTCTCAGATGAACTCACTAACCATCTGTTATATCTAATCCAGGCAATTGTTTAAAACAGATAAGCAAAGAAGTCATCCTTGGAAGGACATTCATTTTTGTTTCACTGTACCATGCAGAGGCCCTTCCACTCCACTAGTGCATTCTGAGGCTGATGTTATTAATCTCATAAGTTTTCTTTACATCTGACAGTATATTTATCCCTGCATATTGCACTGTTTTATTAGTCCATCTAAATTCAGATTGATTATACTCTTCCACAACTGAAAGGTGAACTGTCCAAGCCTGACTTATTACAACATGGACATCATTTAGCTTTTGTTACAATGGAGATATCATTTATGTGTTATTGACAGACCTGCTTCAGTTTATGGAGTGATAAGTTCAAGAACTACTGCCAAAGGTAGCAGTGTGGACAAGCCTCATGGGACACCTCACCTCCTTAATTTGTCCTGATTCGTAAACTCATTGCTCACTTTTACTAATGCTCTGCAGTGGTATCAAATGCCTGGATGTTGTTACCTACTCTGCAATATCATCCCTACTGAGAAAGAACTGCCCTATGTCAGAGTCCTTCTGGCAGTCATTTCAGTAACATCAGATACTGAAATTCAGCTAGAGCCTCTTACATCAGAGCAAACATGTTCTGTAATGCCCAATGCATACCCACTCTGAGTCAAGCCTTGCTTCCTCTCACTTCTTTACCATCTGCTGACATGGGCTTGCCTTCCCAATGGCAGTTAGTTTTAATTTCTCTAACAGACTGGAGGAGAAATATCACAGCTCTTAGCTTTTGCACTTACAGGCAAGTGTCATGTTCCTCTGTGGAAAAGTTAGCAATTATTTACTATGTGACTGGCTCAACAGTCATGGGACAAGAGGCCACTGATGGGGAGGGGTGATGGGAAGGTGAGAACAGTGGAAGTGAGAAAAGGCCTCTAAGCAGCCATCAGGACACGACTGTGTCATCATTACATGGGCTAACAGAGCTCATTACACCAGCTAAAGGCAAACACACTAGCCTGCTACTTCAAGGCCCCTTTTTCTCCTGCACTGATTAATTTTCCCTGTCACAAGGCTTTTATTTTATCTTTTAAGAGCAATAAAACATGTTATTTGCAGTCCTGAAAACTCAAGAATACTTCAAAATTCTCTGACAAGAGTCTCCAGTTAAAATGAGACAAAATGAAAACCTCAAACAAACAGAAAGCTGTGCCCTCAAGAACTGTTCTCTGCACACTGCTTTTTCAAAGTTCTTGTTCATTATACCCTTCTCATCCGTGAGTAGCAAAGCTTTGCTCTCAAATTTGCAAAACAGCTTCTTCAAAGGCTGGCACTGAAGAATCTGAAGTACCCAGCTGTGTATCTGGATACAGGAAGGAATAGGATTTTTCATGACATATACATCAGCATAACTCTTCAGATGCCTGTCCAGCCAACTCTCAGAGGATCCCTTCCTGTCACAGTAGACGGACAACAGAAAAAGAGATAACACACATACAAGGTCCCATTTTTCACATAAGACTTCCCAGGCAGGTGAAAGCCTGTGTATACACACATGGCCCCTCCTATCAAAACCCTTGGTTTCGTAACATCTCTAAAAGCTTTAAGAACCAAAAAGCCCTCAAAATCAGGGCCAAGATAGCAGCCCGTCCTTGTGAAAGCCACATACCAGTAAAATAAGCAAAATGCTGGAATTGCTCTTCAGAATGGGAAGCAATGGGTTAGCACTGGTCAGCTGATCAGATGAGCCAAAATCAGCTTCTTCAACCTCAGTCTGCTTGCAGTCTTCCCAGGAAAACCAGAGTTGGAGGACTTGGTGTCCACATCTCCCCATGAGTTCAGGGTAGTGCAGGAAGAATTTCAGCAGGACAGGACAATGGACATAGACCAAGCTCAGATCTGGAAGATTATCCAGGATCCGTCTTATGGTAGACAAAGATCTCTGGTAAGAAGGAAAGGGGAAGTGAAACAGAGAACAAAATAATCACTAATACTGAATATAAAACACCTGAAGTGATGAGACTTTATTGCAAGAAACAGTCATACTGCCTTTTCAGTAGACAATCAAACACATCAGCTAAACATCATTTTGTGAAGCCCATTTGCATCACAAAGACTAAGAAACCTGTAGGCTTTAAACAGAGCTCAAAGCTGTGCAGCAGCAAAAAGCCATATGGGAACACTAGAAAGCTTGCTGCAGAGGCTGGAGATGTATTTGGGAGACTGAGCTATGAAATTTATTATATTCTGTATGTGAATTCATAGCCTATCCAACACAGTTACACTTCCCACACATGCACAAGTTTATTCTGTCAAATCTATATTCCCCTTTGGATTTTCATAGTTAACTTTCCAGAGTGTAGAGGCAGTGCACAGCCTTCACTCATTCACTGCTCACCACTTATGCCAAAATACTTTCTACAAGAAGGTTGATGCGAGTGGGGAGAAACCTTTGTTTCAACAAAAAGGCTCCAAGAGGTCGGAATTAAATCTTTTACCATGTCCAGGGCTTTGTCTTTGTCCTGACAGACAGCAAGGAGGTAAAGTGCAGCTCTGAGTATGTGTGGAGGGGGACAGTCTCCATGATCCTGTGCTGACAGGAGAAAATTTCTTACAGCTAGAAATAATTCTGCATCTGGAACAAACCTGCATTGAAGGAGATTGGAGTGGAAACAGTAACAACAGATATGTTTTACCCACCAATACATATGTGGTTTATAATGGCCACTTGCTTTGTATAGTCTTGGCTTACCTATCCCCGAAGGTGTAGGCAAAGTATAAGAGTAGTAGGAAACAGTGCTGGTGGCTGCAAAGAGACTGATCCAAAAAGAATGGCTCAGGAGTTTCAGACAGGAGGAGAAGGCTTTCAGCAATGGTGTAGTTTAACTGAGGCAGACCCTTCTGCAGGAGCTCAGACATCTCCTGCTCTAGAAATAAAAATATAAGCAGGCAGGAAATGATCAGCAATGTCTATGGAACAACCCCACAGTCTGCATACACCAAGCACACCTCTATGATTTGGCAATCAGTAGTGGTGTGCAACCTGATTTAACAGAGCTGGCTTTAAGGATGAAAATACACTTCTGTTTGAGATTCCGAGCCCTTTGCTGATGCTGTCTGTATGGTGACCAACCACTGCTACTGGGAAAAGTGGCCTTTCTGATGCAGAAACTTTCATCTCATTTCTTTGGGACATATCAATTATGCAAAGTTACAGTATAGACAGGAAAGCTTTATAGAGTACACCAGAGGGAAAAATTACTTTAATATGCAGATATGCCACTTCACTGTGGCAAGTAATTTTGTTTTAATTAAGCATGCACAGCTGTGTAAACAAACCATAGGCAAATGAAATGCATTCCTTCAGGTAGGGTTCCAAACTCCCCAAAAGGCATTTTCTGAGTGTTTTCTGTGCTGACCAGCTTAAAAATAAGCTGGAGAAAAAAATATCTCCATCAAGCTATGTGTGTCCTCCCTTCCCTTCTCCTTTGTCCTTTTCTAATTCTTTTTTCCACCTGTTGCCTAAACAGAAGGTGGCCGTGCCTCAAACTAAATGAAACAATCTTTCTATTTCCCCAAACTTGCCCTCCTGAGAAGAAGTTCTCATCTTCTCTGTGGCTGAGTAAAGGTTCAGGCATAAGTTGCAGAGGAAGCTGGAACAGGTGTGATTCAGGACAGGATTACTGTGAAGAAGAGCAGAAAGATACAGTAAAGGAGGCTAGAAATATTCTCTTCTTACTTCTCATATCTGCCAGAACACACTGTCTGCCAGAACCTCATTTTACTGAATGATCACATACAAGCACCTGCCCCATCACAAGAAGACTCTAGGAGCCAACCTTGGCTTCCATGTAAATTATGAGTTCCCAATGGACTGTCAGCTCACAGATGTGGTGGGTGTGTGCAGGAACAACACTGAACATGTTCATACCTTGGGCCAATGTAAATACAGGGAGGTACTCTCACAACCATCACACCTTGTCTACACTGGGAGACCTGCAAGAACAGGACCCCTAACACTGCAGAGAATGGGAGGTATACTTAAGGGTAGCTTACCATACATGATTCCACTGGCAAACAACACTTAGATTTTTTAGCAATGACATTGCCAGGGGTGAACACTGAAGAATGCCAAAATACTAAAAGGGTGAGAACAGCTATTTCCAGGTATTTCTCTCTCTCCAACCATTTCCTTGCAGAACAGGACATAAGCAGACATCTGTAACACACCACCCTTGGCACAACACAGTGCTCTGTTCAAAAACCTAAACCACTCCTACCACACACCATTCACAGGTAAAAATCCCCCACTCAAAGTTCCACACTAGTAAACTGGACTAGGAGTGCTGTGTGTTTTGTTTACTTTTTTAATGAGGTACAGTCACAAGAAAGAGGAGATAAGACATCTCTGTAGACCCTCAGAGAGTGTCCCCAAATACTCCTCAACCTAGAAATCATAGCCTCTACTACAGGAGATCTTTTGCAATGCCTGCTACTGAAGTTACCCTCGTTCCCCCCATTTCTAATATATTATCACACCATGAGGAACAACAGTGGTAGTAAATGCTTATGAAGCCAGAGCTCAGATGGAACTGATGCTACTGATACTTCTCTTCAGAACTCCCACTCATATGACAACTCCCAAGTCAGGCTGCTTTATCTCTATCTGTGCAACACACGACAGAGCACAGAATTCTCACAATGCTGTGTAAATCCATCCATCCCCTACCAAACTGCTTCTCCCTTCTCCCACATCAAGCTCTTCCATTGTCAGTAATCATTTACATTTTTCAGTAAGACACAACCATTCTTAAGTGTTTCAGCCTCTTGTCTTGCCTAATCAGGTGTATTAGATAAGGCATGATCTACTTTTCCATCTGGAAATTTTTGGCTCACTTAGAATGCACACATCACAATACCTCTGTACAGAGCAAAACCTGGCCTTGAGCTCCAGTGTCAGTCGGATGAAGGACGAAGATGCTAGACAGAAAGCGAGACAGATGTCAAAGGACCACAGAACATGCATGATGACAAAAAGAGTAGGCAGGTCCCATAACCACCCCCACACATCATATAAGCCTGGTGAAGAGGGCAAGCCACCTAAGTAAGAATACATATATTAGGCTGCCTCTCAGAAAGTAAACTACTCCAAGTTTGGGTGTGAGGAAAGTATCTGAGATTTATTTGTTTTCTCAGGAGAAGTGAGGATTTGCCCATTTCACATGTTTAGAACAGAGTAATTGTCTATGTCACCTCTCTGATGTGTGAAGAATAAGGCATACATAGACTAAACTAGGATTTCTACATAGTAAAATCCCACCAACAATTCCAGCATAATCCCTGTCTACAGGAACAGCCAATTCAATTCTGAATTATTCCAGAGGAAAAGATAAATCTGACACAACATTCTTATCCAAAATAAAACCTGTACCATCATCATTGCTAGACCAAATAACTTTTCTATCCTGCTGAGCATGACTATGCACTCTACTCAAATAAACTTGTAATAGAATCCTCCACATAAAGTCCAAATGTTAGGCTCATTGCCTCAGTAACATGCAGTAGCAGCAAGTTCTACCAGTTAAGACCACAGAGAACATGATTTCACAATACCCTCATACCCAGCTTCTTGGAGAACTTATTCCGCATGCTTGGCACCACTGCAAAGAGGGTATTGAGTGTTGAGATGAAAACCTCCGTCACTGACGGGCTGACAGCCCTTTCCAGATAGCTCTGTGGAAACACAAATACATCAGGTGCATAAGTTGCTATAAACACTGAAGGCAGCAGCTTCCTTCCAGCCTCCTGCCTGCCCAGAAAGTCAGGTTTCTAAATCCAAACAAATGGAGCAGCAGTTCTTTCACCAAAATGCCTGGCAGCAGAGGAAGCTCACAGAGTACTTTGAATTCAACTAACACTCCCCCTGCTAGCACTATGAGCTGTGCTGGTAACTCTGCAAGACATTGTACCAGACAAGAAACTTCTCCTGGATTCCAGCAGGCAACCAGTTAGGCCTTAATACACAGTGACTGACACTAATGCCCACATTGCCCTGCAAGTTACTGCTTTACAGGTCAGATGGATAATTCTCCTATACAACACAGGATATATGTTTAAGTGCAGCTGACTTCAGCAACAGTTAACACCTGTGCTTCAGTGATTCACTGCGCAGCGGCAAACACAGGCATTTGAGCTCTCTACAGAATCCAGCCCTGAACTGTTTAGAACAGAATGACTCACCTCACTCTTGTTGAAGGTCACTGGACAATTTTCTCACAGTCCATTAATTTTTACCCAAGTTCAATGAGCAAGAAACAGCTCACTGACTCCAGCTTTGCCAAACTGGACATGCACTGCACCCTCCTGTCAGGGAGGAGAACAGCAGTGCCACTGCAGCTGCCTACCAAGAGATTAGTTAGGAAAACACCAACCAAAACATCTCCAAGCTCCTAACAACTGCAAGAATCCAACTGCACCTGCCACAAAGCACAGGCAAACTTTACTAAATGTTAGGAACCACAACAAAAGTCCCATTGTTTTGACAATTCTGCTTGAAGTGTCTTAGGGACAGACTTGTATGGAGCACTAAAGTACTCATGAGTCTCCACCGGTATTTTTAAATCATGTCACAGGCCTTACTGAGGCACAATGCTTAATACTGCCCATGCAGACTGGGCAGCCTCATCAGTACCTTCTGGGAAGAAGCACAGAAACGAAATTGCAGGTGTAAACCATGGCAGCTCTCCGGGACACAGACAAGTTTTGAAAAAGTGGCAGAAGGGAAAACAACAGTTCAGGCATTTCCACTTCATTTTCTGACACATCTGGAGCTGCAATGGATCCCACAGCACGGTAGGTAAGCTATGGAATTGCACAGTCGGAAGAAAGACACTGACATCCACATGGAAACTTCGTGAATTGCATGACATGCCCTCTTCCCCAAAAAACATTTGTGTAACCCACTCTCAGTGCTTGAAAGCACCTTTCCAGGTACCCATACAACAGACCAAGTTAAAAGAAATCCTACCATGACCATGGGGATGCAGAGACTGTCACAAATCCTCAACAGGAACTCAGAAAAGTTGCTTAGTGTGCCTTTGCTCTCAGAGTTGGGGGCAGTGAAAGCATTCTCTTGGGCCATGAAGTCACCCTGGAATTCCACTGCTAACCTATAAACACACAGTGGATAACAGAGGAAAGATGAAACCTCCTCACTCTGTAAAGGAAGCCAGGAGATACTACATTTTAATCACAATTTTCACAATAAAGGACCCACAAACACTCAATCAGTTGGAAACAGAGGAATTTGGCAACCACATTCTGTTACCTCGAGTGAAGCTATTACAAGTCATCAAGGTTGCACAACAGTACACACTGGGAAAGGAAGACTTAATTTCTGTGAAGAAAGCATGTGCTGTGGGAAGCCCTGGTGTGGCAAGACTTGCTTTCAGCCATACCAGAGTGCCTAATGCACAGTACAGCAAACCTTGTGAAAATCTGCCAAGGGATCATTTAGCTGATATAAAATCCATGAGTGCCCTCTAACACAACCCCAAGACTCTGGGTCAGTGCAGAAAGACATGTCTGATTCTGACTGAATTATCTCAGCCAACTCAAGTGATGCAAGGCAAAAACGAATTTGACTAGAAAATCCTTAAACCTGATCCTGATTCATACTCAAACTCATCTACCACTGCCTGATGTGCAGCTAAGGATGCCAGATAGCTCTGATCCAGCAAAAGAGGTACAGTTGGTGCCTATAAACCCACTTCCAGTAACAGGTCACAGACACAAGCAAATCCAAGGCCAGCATCTGGAGCAGATAGACATTTGTTAAATGGTTAATCCCCTCTGGAAGTGGCACCACATAGCACAGGAATCTGGTTTCACACATACCTTCCAATAGTTCTTACATTATCAGCAGTTTTGGTGAATTTCCAAGCAGTCTCTCAAAGCCCTAAGTCATTAAATAAACTGATAGGTCCCTGACAAATTTCATGGAAGACATACCCAGGTGTCATAAAATTTTCACTATTAATACATACCCCTGCCTCTGCTGTTTCACTGACCAATGCTATGCACTGAACTCACCTGTGAAATTTCTGTGGTGGGGCTGGGTGGAGGAACATAGTTGTGAGGACAGAAGAATGGACAGACATGGACACACAGCACCCACCCATACACCTTCCCGACTTGTCCTTACCTGCAAGCATTTCTGAAACTTTCCAGGGTATTGAGCAAGAACTGACCCTGTCTCTGAGGAGCTCTACCAAGATTTCTGTTTGCTGGGTGACTCTGAGACACTGAGAATAGGAGATCACCCTGTTAAAGGAGAGAAGTCTTAATTTTATGTCCCCTTTCAGAAAAAAATAGCTTTCTCCTTTGACCACCAGAAGCAGCATGAACAACGGATTTTACTTCACTCCTTCACACAACCATTTTTTTACTACCATGCTTTCCCCAAAGAGGGCAGAGTAAAACAGCTTGTGTGCTCTTCCTAGGGAGGACAGAGTTACAGAGCCATTAATTCTGCAGTGTCCTGTCTTTAGAGTCTGTATTACCATTATTTGATCTGAGTTTTAAGCATTTCAGTTAACAGAGCTTTAAATCCTTCTGAGAAAACTTCGTACCTTTAAAATTTTTTTCTTCCAAATACTCTTCAGACAACATAGAATAGTTCTTCTCCTTGCTTAGCAATGAAATCTTAGAAGTTCTTCTACTTTGGCTCAGAGTTTTAAGCAGCTATCACCCATGTACTAATTTTTGTTCCCACACAGCATCCCACTAAGTCTGAAGCCAACTGAAGCATCAGAGTTAACGATTTGCCCAAATTGGGAATGACTTGGAACTCAAAATCTGCCTTTAAGCCTTAACCTGTTGTGGTGGTCTTCTCTATAATAGCAGAGGAGAGCACAGCTACACATTGGTGTCTGGCAGTTCACAACTCTTCTCCATTTCATGCTGAGATACCTTGTCAGAGGTGGCATCATTTCCCCTTTTCTCCCTTTAAACACAACCTGCATATCCTATCTAACTTCCTTCCTGTGAAGCTCCTAATTCTGAAAGGGACATCTAGCTCTAGCTCTGTATGTGTACAAACTGACTGGCCAACATCTGCCTATGGGACAGAAAGCACTTCTGCCTTCTTCAGGCAGAGAAGGCTAATATCTGGTAGCACAGAACTTGGATCTAAAATTAGTTCATCATGAATTTGGAGTTCTGCTACTCCTTTGAGCATTGAGGTGTTCTTCTCACTACTGGCATGCAATCCAAACCTACATGGCTCTAAGACTAGAGCAAGAAGGCACAGCCCTTGTCTTTTCATTAGCCATCTGCACCTGGGGATCTTCCCAGCAGTGCAGAGGTCCCAGCAGCACACCACACTAACTACAGATGCCAGGAACAGGAAAGGAATTCTAGTTCAAATAGTGGCTAACAACTCCCTTGCACTCTTGATCTGAATGTAGAACAAGATATGTTCATTGCTGAAAAAATAGATTAACCAATGCAGCCTAAAAGGTGGGGGTAGGAAGAAAGGGAAGTTCAAATAACTTTGGAGTACTGGACACAAAGAGAGTAACATGCTCAAGTAGTGCCCCACAAAACTTCACTGATTTAGAAAGATATCATTCACCAGCATCCATCTTCATCTACTTCAAAGTCTGGTACCATCTCAAGGCAAGAGGATCAAAAGAAATAGCAGAGAACCAAACAGCAACTGGAACGTAACAAGGGGATGAAATATGTATAAAACATCCACATAGTGGCCTAGGAAGATCACCCCTGTACTGCTCGTTCCTACCAATAAGCAACAACTTTTGACTTACTGCATGCCTCTTACTACTCTGTGGTGGGGAAAGGTCAGCATATCGCTTCAGCACTGCCTCCAGAAGCTTCTGCAGTTCTTCATATGGGACTGGAGGGGAGCTCAGATGGTCCTTCCTTAACAAGTGAAGACAAAGACAAGATGCACAGTCCCTACAGGAGACATTCCACTAGGAGGACAACACCATCAGAAATAACTGCTATTCTGATGGAAATATGCCACTGCCACTTCTCTCCAGCAGAGCATAGTAAGGTCACAATACCTGAATAGCGCCTTCACCCACACATAAGCCCAAATACACCCTCAGTGCTCTATCTGCTCCCATTACAGTCAGGAAGCCCATGACTGTCCAGAGTCTTGTGTTTATGATTCTTGTCAATCTGGATGGGGCACAGAGTGACAAAGCTATAGCAACTGCTGTACAAGCCTGCCTGGAACACTAGGTCCTTGCTGCAATGACTTGCTGCCTGCCACAGCTTCATTGCGCTGGCAGCTTTCCTGAGATGGGTGGGAAGCTGGCTCTGCTGTACCCACGCCTGCCTCAGCCACAAGTCCCACTGCAGAGCACATTCACCCACACAGCCACAGGGGAACTGCAAAGCCCAAGATGCTATCAACAGATCTCTCTGAAGAAAAGTCTGCAAATACACTCCTGCCTACCTCAGGAAAGCAGCCACAGCTTTCACAGCCTCCACCACCACCTCCAGCACTGGGCAGTTCACCGTCTCCATCAAAACATCAATGGCTTCTATACATACACCTCGGTTTGTAAATAATTTGATTTCCACTGGTTGCCTGTGAAGATGAAACAAAGTAAGCAAGGAGAATGTTGTCAGAGTTAGGTAACTGTAGTGCCCTTTCCTCATTTCAGCAAATGGACAGCTAAGCCAGAGATTGCAGCCATGTTTTTCAGTATTGAGAGCCAGCTGCTCTCCAGGAGGTACTCTCACACTTGAGCAGGTAGAGGGTTTGCTATAAAGAGGAAATTTCATCCAATATAAAGCACTACCATGATAAAACATCCACAGTCTGAATAACTGTGTGACTACTCCAGAACACTGCCATGAAAAGCACAAGAAAAACAAGCTTTGTAAAATATAGGGATCTCTGTGCCTAGGACTCTGTGTACAGGCCATCAGCTCTGGCATTTGTGAGTTCATCTAGCAACTTATATTTTCAAGTATACAACCAAACATCACCACCCTAGAATAAGGATATTGCCATGAGAATAGCTTCTCTCATGGCACTCCTAATTCCAGATGCTGCCAGGACAGGAACCTTCACAAACTTGAAAAGTAATCAGGACAATAAACATAGTCCAACTGTTTTGACAATCCTTCTCAACAGTGAGCATTTTGGTCATCTGTGGCCCAACACCTCAGCATGAGAGCATGGAGGGACAACAGGCCATTAATCCCATTATTGGACAGAGCTGTGTAAATGGTAGAGTGTGCTTATTTGGCTCCTGGCAAGTCAGGTATAGTTGGGAGGGCAGGGGGAAGACAGGCAGCTACACGCAGACAAGAGGCACAAACAGCCTGTCAGAGGGTCCCTCCAAAGTGAAGCAAGAAAAGCAGCACAGCATGACAGGAGCCAGATTTGGGAGCCAAAACTATTCCCTATTATTCAATTTTCATAGTCATGCCTGACTAAAGAAAACCAGGAGCACATGCTCTCAAGCACAAATGGGAAAGCAATTTCTACCTCAGTAGAAATTACACTACTAGCCCAGTTACATGGCTAAAAGGGAACAGAGGAAGAACCACTCTTTTTAGTCACTCAGTGGGATGGAACCCAGCTTTGCAGCCACCTCACATTCTGCTGTGAGAAAAAGCTGTGAGGTGGGCATGGCAAGAAAAAGGACTTGTGGAACTCAGGCACCTGGAGCCAAGCCACAAGTGATACACTGAACTTCCAAGTTGCTTCTACTCACACTGGATGATTCTATGAATCCTCTGTATTTCCTTTCTTTAATCTCTGACCTTCTGAAATAAAACACATCAGGAAGAAAAAAGTCTTCACTGACTCATACAGGGAAGAAGGGATGGAGGAGTATTGCTGACTCATTCAAGATGCACAAACCCACTTTCAAGATGGTGCACTGTGATATCTTCAGGGACTGGGGGGGAAATGTGAAGTGTGGCAGCAGCTCTCTGGCCACACAGAGCCTCTGACAACTTTCCCAGGCCTTTCTGGGAAAGGCCATGAGAAGATCAGAGAAAAGAATAAGAAACAATTCTTATATTCACTTGCTGCACCTGTTGCTGTGAACAAGTGGAATGTGTTATGGAGATTTGTCTACCAAAGGGTGATTTCTTAATTGGCCAATGGCGATGGTGTTTGGACTTGAGGACCAATTAGGTCGACCTGTATTGTAACTGTCAATAAAAGCAAAGGGTTTCTTAATAAGTATAGTATACTAAAGTGATTGATCAGCCTTCGGTGAATCACAGAGTCAATGCTAATTATTACCCAGCTGGGAGCCTGCAATGACAGTGAAGGGCAGCACTCTTGCAGCTTCCTGCAACCTCTCATCTTGGGGCCCCAGTCTGCACCTGACACTTTGATTATGCTGGCAGAGACAAGGGTCACTCCAGGGAGAGCTACCCAACATTCCTGACATACTAAGGGGAGCAGTATGTCCTGCAATGGACCTCACCAGAATGTGTGGCTCACTTAGACAAGAGAATCCAGCTGCAAGCTAAAACCAAGATGAGAGGTTCCAGCACAAGATCCCTTTCTCCACTATGAGATAATTTTAAACAAAACGTGATTTCTAAAACAAAGCTCAGAGAAACAGAATGGGTGTGCGAGAAAATTAGAACAACTGCACAGAGTGTTCCCTTTGATTTACAAGCATAAACGCTATAATTAGTATTCCTCACATCCTGGTTTCTCTTTTTGACAGATCCCACACTGGCATCACCACACTGTTCTAGCATTATTACTTTTTCTTCTCCTTTTTACCCTTCCACTTGCTACAAAATTGACTGTGACGTTTCCAAAATTCTGCTCAAGGGCTCTCTTGGGGGATCTAAGTGGCAAGAACGAGACTCTGTCACTAGCATGACAGGACAGGAACAAGATCATAGAGGCAAGAGCAGGAAGCACAGAAGAAAAACAAGCCAGTGTATATTATTTCTTAGCAGAAAACAAGAGGAAAAAAGTGACAGAAGACATTAATATTTCAGCCTAGAATTTGTTTTTGCAGTTTGAATTTAGCTCAGATGAGATAGAAGACCAGAGGCCATGGAATTTGCATGCTTTGTTTTGTCATAGAGGCACACTTAGCAGGAGCTGGCCTGCTCACATATGCCTGGACCTTCCTGGCCTTCTCTCCTGCTCTGTCTACAGCTGAAAAGAGATTTCACCTCCCTGACTGGCAAGGAAGCAAGAAGAGGAAGGTTTAGTGGTGGATGTAAGCACAAACAGGACAAGCTGGGAGGTTCAGAAACAACCATCAGACCCTTCTTTGCAAGAATAAAGCATATGAGATTGTTCAGCACTATCTTTTAAACACAAAAACTCTTGTGTGTAGATATCTGATCTTGGAAGAAAATCTTAAAAGCACAAGTTCCACAGTCTCCATTTTGGGGTACCAAACTCTGCCTGCAAGCCTGACAGGGTACTCCCTTACCGTTTCAGTATTTCAGTGAAGAGCAGGAGTCCTTGTTTGTGCAACTCCACATTGTTCAGCAGCAGAACACCTTGGAGACTCCTCACCAGAGATTCAATGCCTGTACACATTCAAGAGAAGTCACAGAGAGGCTTTTAATGCTCCAGATTGCAGAATGGAAGCAAAATTAATTTTTAAAAGGAAGAAAGATTTGAACAATTGTTCTTCTGAGCTACTGACAGAAACAACTGTTGAATGTTCACTCAACTCCCTCGTAACATGCCTCAACCTTCACTGCTGGAGATAAGTCCCAAAGAACACAAAGAATTTAACCATTCTTCCTAAATCTACTCTTGACATACCCACAGAATGACACTCTCTGAGTTACTATTAAGTCTATCATGATAACTGGTTATTATAATGAATTAGTGTTCATCAGAAACTCATTAGGATAATGACACTATAAATTCAAGCTATGTTGGACATCACAAACATATCAGATAGGTACTTATTTTAAGTCCTTTATCCATCCTGACTGGAAATTGTGATTGTGTGTAAAGTGCTGGAATACAGCTAGAGGCACAAAAATTACTGCAGTCACTCTGCCAGAAAGGTTGATGACTCACCATAGACCGTATGACACTTGGAGAAGAAAAGACGCTCTTCAGTCAGGAGGAGCAGGCAGCAGTACACTGACCAGATGAGGACTTCACTTTTGCACAAGAGACACTCAAAGAGGAACTCTGAAAACACACACACAAACAAGGTTACCCAGTAAGAGGCAGGCTGCTCAGCATGGCACAGCTGCTCCTAGAACAGAGCAGAGGAAGGAGGAGGAAACATAGCAACAGCTACAGGGAGAATGGCTGTACTATGAAATGGCAGGAATGGAGAACACAGTAGATGCTCAAGGGTATGCTAGTCTTCAAAAAAAGGTGACTGGAGAGCAGATACCCATGGGCCAGCATTTCCCAGCACAAATTCAGTAGGAAGGAGCTGAACTGTGGATCTAGCCTTTGGCACAAATAAAAAGCCACAAAGCAAGCTTTACCACAGATGCAGTGGCCTTTTTTTCCTCATAACTTTTACATCTCCCAAAGAACTTTTATCAGGAAAGTATTTCTGTCTTTTGGGATTACAGAGAATCAATAAACCATCTCCCATTCTAAAGCTAAATCCTAGACCTGAGTCTAGGGTTCTGAGCAAACATACAATATTTAGTGGAATGAGATGGAACCCAGTTTGTTTCAACTTGTATCTAAGGGCCTGCAAGAAGGATCTTAACCTCAAGTACTTGGCCAAATTATCTCTGTGGAAACTCCATTCTGGCTGGTGACACCTGCTTCTAAACTTTCAGTTGAAAACACTCTCCCCTTCTACTCCTAAAATCACCTGGTATAAAATGGCCACCACATTATGCCACCAGTGGATTTCATGGAACCAGCCTCATTCCTAAACCAAACAGCCAGAGGCAGCTTTGATACTGGGGAATGAAAAATAAGATGCTACTGCATTTGTTCACCTGGGACATCAGCATGGATAAAAGCAGGAGCATATCTGCTAGGAGAGTGAACCAGCACTGCAGCCATACAGTGAGAACTCGCTGCCTGTAACATTTCATCTCTGGTCAACAAGAGCTGTTGGGAAGCAAAAGTCAAACGGAGAAAGGAAGTCAGCTGTGCAGCTGTGAGGAGGAAACAGTTTGTTCGACGTTTTACAATTTAAAACATAAATTAAGTTTTCTCCTTCAGCATTTATTAAACCTGCTAAGGTAAGATAAAACACTGAACCAAAGAGATTCAAAAAAGCACATCAGAACTACAACAGAGTAGATCATGAGTAAGAATAGTTCTGCCCACAGGATTAGTCATGCTGGTGCTTTATGTGCTGTATCAGACATCAAGTGTAAGTAAGGCCAGGAGTAAAATTTTCCCTATTCCAGGATACAGGAATGAACAAAAAGGTGATCCACAGAGGCATCCCCATTTCCCAGTGCAGCTTCTATTGCTGGTGTTGGTAACAGAACACTCTGCTTTTTATATATATACAGTGCCTTAGATAAAAGTTCATTACAGGACAGCAAATTATTGATGTGTACTAACAATTCACTACTACTTCAGCAATCACCTTTTTGAGAACAAGTGGCAGTGGATTTTCGCCTTCTAAGAAGTCAGTGTTCTCAGACTCCTCCTCTGTCTTTAAATTATTCATAAAAATAGATACAAAATGGTCAGATTTCAACAGCTCCTTTAGCAAACCTGCCAAGGGAAGAGCAAGAATGAGCACCATACTGAGCAGCACAGTGAGCATTATATTAACATACAAGTATTTCCAGACTAAGACTTGTTGCCAGCTTCCTCCCCTCTGCTGGAGGGCCTCACCTCCAATTTAGGGAAGTTTTTCTCACTCTGTCCCCACATATTGCCACGAACCCCATGTCTTGCAATCCCTTGTTGCTGATACTTTTGCTGGTCTGATCTGCTCTCTGTTCCTTCTCAGTCACAGAGAATGTATATGGGTGCATCTCAGGAGCTCCCTACCTGCATTATCTTCTGCTAGTAACCCCATCTTCAACTGTTTCTTGGGAGAGCTCTTGACCTGCATCCTTCTCCAAGCAGTCAGTTACCCACAATGGCATTTTCTCTAGAACACCTCATAGAGAACAGGCATTTATCTTCCCCTTCTATTTTCACAGGCTCTTACAGAAACAGCTGTGTTCAGCTAAAGGATACCCACACTTCAAAAAACTCCCTCAGTATAACAGTATAGATCACTGCTACAGGTAATGATAAAAATCATCAGTACACATCAGTACAAATTCACAGGGGTATCGTCTGAGCTACAGGATTCTACTTTCACAGGAACAATAATCTATGTCTAGTAGCTGAATAGATAAGCTGAGGAGCAATTCAGTTCCTGCTTGCCTCCTTCTAGAAAAATTAATTCCCTGGGTGGTTTACAAACAAGTTATGTCAGAAAGGCTGAAATTGTGCTCCCCAGCAACAGCTGAAATATGCAGTTGGAAGGATAACTGCAAGAAAGTGCCACTTCCACATTAGCTCTATATCTAATTAACACGATGCCTCATATCTAAAGACTGTATTTTTTAGACTCTATCCCACCTGCCCATGCACAGTATTTGCATTCAGACATTTTGAGACATGATCGGGCCATAGCACAAGCTTGGAAGAGACTGAAGATTAGTTAGTGCTGGGAAAACGTAAGGCATCAGGGAACAACAGGATCTGGGGGTGCTCAGCAGCAGGTCTGGACCACTTCATTGGAGCAACAGAAAGTACTGACAGCTTTGGACAAGCAGCATAAAGATCCTCTACAGAACAACCAACATTACATCATCTAAATTAGCCAAGGATTTCTTCCTCATTCTAAGCCTTCCCTTGCACCTTGCAGTTTCTCTTAGCAATGTCTTACCCAAACAATTAATCTGCAGCTCCTTTGTCTGTGCACACCCCAGAGTATTCAAGAAGACACCACACAGCCTTTCTTCAAAGTGTCCTGAGAGCCGTTCTGTGCCAACAGCACACGAGTACAGCTTGCCATACAAGTAGCAGACAGCAGCCTTTATACGTTCATTTGGGTATGTCAAGCCCATCAGCAGATGATCCACTAAATTATCTAGCATGAGGAACAGGAACAGCAAACATTCACTGACATTTTAAAAGCACCAACCTATTTCCCTTGAAAACTTGCAAAAGCCTGCTGGACAGACTGGTGTATGCAGGTTAATGAATACCACAATCAGGTGATGCACTCAGCACCATCTGTCTCTCTGAGCAGAGATACAGTAATACACAGCTAGCAAAGCTCACTGTTTACCACATGAAGATCCATCATCCCAGCTCCCTCCACAAACAGTTCAGCTTGCTCACCAGACCCCCAAGCACTGGATCAAGATAAAAAAACCTAAACATATGTTGCCTGTGAGGCAGAACCACACCCCAGTTCACAGAGGCTGCTTTTGTCTGGCTAAATGCATGATAACAAGTTGCTATGAAGGTTCTGACCTGTATCCCAGGAGGTCTGAATGCCACTCTGACTTCTGGACAGGCTTCTTGTGTGACCTTTATGAACTTGTCCGGGGGACAGGGGAGTGCATGCACACATGTGTATTAGAGCTGTGGATACCACCCTTCAGTGGGTGACAGTGGGACATAACATACTAGAGTGGGACATGACATACTACTCACTGTGCTTTACCACCAGCATTTCAGCAAAGCCTGGGATGGCATCTGCCAGCTTGCCCAAGAGAGAAAATGTGGGCAGGCTGCTTCTCATGGTAGTTGCTTTGCACAGCTGTAGAGGAGACAAAGGATAATGTTTCACTGATGAGGACACAGTTCATAGGCAGAAATGCACCCAAACCAGCAAGTTCTCAGTGATGCATAATCTTCCAGAATAGGATCTTTTCCAAAGATGGGCCTCTTCACCACTTGGGATAAACCACAGGAAAACCCCAAATACCACACTAAGTCTCCAAAATGTCTTTAAATGAATTCAAGGAATTGCTTGTTATTTCTTTTCCTCTTTCCCCCCTCCACTTCTTACATGAGCAGTTTAATTTCTCACCACCTTTGCTACTTCCCTTTTTTAGTACCCCTTGGGCCCATCATAAACTTAGGAACAAAGAGAGTAGAGCCCACAGCACAGGCTAGGAAAGCTCCTCATATAACTGAAGAGTAAGGTAGGAAAAAAAGTATTTGAGGAAACCACACAGTTTCATAAGTGTATAATGAAGCCCTATGGCTGCAAGATATCATGAGAACAATATAAAAACTCCATGGTAGAAACTAACACTGCCAACATCACAGCTGGGGAACTGGCATTAGGACATCCAAGGTCAGGTTGGATGGGGCTTTGAGCAACCTGGTCTAGTGGCAGGTGTCCCTTCCCATGCCAGGAGGGTTGGAATGAGATGATTTTTAAGGTTCCTTCCGATCCAAACCGTTCTATGATTCTGTGATCCCACTGCTACATTCCAGTCTTGCAGGGCCACTCATACCTCAACCTCTGAAAGACTGGAAGGAAGGGAAAGAGAACTCATCTTCACTGACCTCCTTCTGACTTTCATCCAAAATGCAGTATAAGTACTGTTCTGACTTCAGCTCCACAACAAGCCTCACCAGAACTAGGCAGAAAAAACAGGATCAGTAACACACACAAAAGAGAACTCACAATCCATCTTCCATGGGGCTTTAGCAGACCAGTGAGCAAAGAGCTTAGAAATGAAATGAACACAGACATGCTGAGAGAGCAGTTACAGCAGCATTCCCAGCACTATTACTTCTGATAGCCCAGCTCAAGCTCTCTGAGGCATCATTCCAGCAATCCTGCTTCAGCTGCACTACAAACCATGCATGGAAATGAGCTGCAAGCAACAAACTGAGCCTCAGGACAGAAGTAAACATAAGGAATCAGGAACAAAAGGGGAAAAAAATCTAGCTTAAAAGCATAAAAAATTATGGCAATTGCATAGACTAGGCTTCCTACTGTATGAAAACTAGCCTTTAAAAATGCATCCTTCCAAAGAAGAGATCAGAACTGAAACTGCTGAGGTTCCTTAGATTCACACTCAGAGTTCCTCCTTCAGCTGCTACTGTCCCTAAGATAAGTGAAGTCTATCAGCCATTCCTCCCCCAGTGCAGATGTCTCATACACCTTACCAGAAAGCAAAGTGCCAGTCACCAGAGTGGTGCTGTTCATCTCCTCAGCCCCAAGCAAGTGCTGTTATACTGTAAGAACTCTGCCAGATCTGTACTAATAAGAGGAATCAGCAAGAAATTATGTTTTCCAGGCAGCAGCAATGCATTACCTGGGGTTTCCCTAACAAAATCACAAGGGACTTATCTGATGCTGCCAGGCTGCCTGTGCCTCCACACATATACCAGTAGGCCAGTTGCACAAAGCAAAGCTCCTCTTCCAGTACTTTTAGAACTGACATGAGTGTTCAAATAATAAAATTTTGGCAAGAATCCCTTTACTGAGACACTGTGCACACACTTCCACATAGGATTTGGTAAGGCTGTCTTCAATTTAGCTTGCTGTCATGGCATGACTCATTTGGACAACCTACACTTTTGATTTGTATCCTAGGAAAGCATTCTAAAAAGAAATATCAGACTTTTGTGTTCACTATTTCTTGGTATATCCAAGGCAATACTAGACCTGCTTCAGCTACAGAGCTATGCATCTCAGGAGAAGCATGTCTGAGATGTGATTTATAGATGGTTTAATAGCCCTTTCTTGCCCCAAACTCTCAGGAACTTAAAACACTTTCAAGACTAAGGCAACACTAATTTAAAATTGCTCTGTTAGAGAGCATCCATCTCTCAACAGACCAGTAACATGACAGAAAGACTTCTCCACTTTTCAACCCCATTTCAAGCAAGTGTCTGGAAACTAAAATCCCTCTGGAAGAAGTTTGTAATAGCTCTTTCATGGCTGGTCATGAAATGCATCACTGCACTGCTGATATCTCTAGACTCAGCAGAGGTACCCAGGGTTAACTGGACTGCAGAGATTGCTTTGTCAGCCCTGCAGATATTTCCTTCAGTTTTCAAATGAGGGACTGCTCACAAAGAGGAATCTACAGCCTGTACAGAAAGCAGTAGATCCCATAGACTTCCATTTGCTTTGACTATTTGGTCAGGTACAAAGATGCCCAAGTTGAAGCACTGTCACCCCTCTGATATTAAACTCATAACACATGCAGGTCCTGTCAGAGAAATGTTAAATATTTAAAAATGCATGCACTCCCCTGCCCCCCAATATTGGAGCAGACTACTCTTTTTTTTTTTCTGGCATGGATATTGATAGTCTTCCCCACTGAAGCTGTATCAAGGCTGATCATCCCACAACAGGTATCAGACAATACAGATTCTCCCCTTCACAAACTGACAGTAACAGAGATGTGGTATTTGTTTCTCACCTTCAACTAGTAGGTTCAGGGCACTGCTGTCTTCCACAGAATGCAACATCCCTACAAGACAAACCACAACATGTCATGGAACTCACTCCTGCTTCAGATCACCAGTGCTGTAATTCCTTCTTGCTAAAATGAGGTGATTTTTTTTTTCCAGCATTGTAGTGTTTTCCCTGCTTCACATAACACCAGCCTGACTTTGTCAGACAAGGGTGGATACTCTCCAGGAGTATCGCAAAATGTGCCTCCATAAGCAGGACACAGGGACATGAGGCACTCTGCTCTCTCACAAATTTTTTATGTGCTTTATAGTTGAAGTCAATGGCTCCACCTATGTCAGGGAATATGTAACTGCTGCTGCCACCACCACATCTCACTGTGTGTATCCAGTATAACACATCTGAAACAACATCCCGGAATGACAGTCAAAGCCCAGCTGGGAGTTTTGTTATTTGTGTCCTCCATTCTTACCAGTTACTATGAACAGCCTCCTCCCTCCACAGTACTGAAAACCCTAAAACCAAACCGGAACACCAGGTTTAAATCATCCAGAAACGATTACAACATTAAATTGAACCTGAAGGCATCACTTCATAAGTTAATTTTACAATGACAGCATACAACTGGATATATCAAAATAAAGCACAGTCTCACTCTAATACACCCCAGCAGACAAGAAACTCCACCTCCCAGCCCCTTCCAACCTATAGCATCAGGCATATGGTTTGGACCCCCAACTTCTGCCACACTGAATCACTTGTTTCAATACATCCAATCAAACTACCTCCCCTCTGAAGGCTCCATGATGCCTCAGAATTTTGACCAGCTAAAGCAATGTTATAACAGGTGAAGAAATTACTTATTTAAATCCTCATCTGCCCAACCCTCAGTAACTCTTTCAAAAAGATTTGTATACAGCATTATTGAATGTTACAATATTAGCTGCATGAAATTCAGGCTTATCTGAAACACACCACCTCATAAGTAACACTCCACCTCTCTTAACCCTCTTTCTTCCAAATGCATTTTCCTGAATTCACTATTAATACTTCCTCCACAGCACTGCCAAACTTCTGGGGAGGTCCCCCTTACACTCTTGCACCAAATGATCCCTGCTTCATCCAAGCTCTGTTGAAAATGTCATTGTTTGTAGCCCCAAGATTAGGCTGGGATTCCAACTGCTCTAAGAGTTATACCAAGCACAGTACTGTCAGGATCTATACTCATACAGGCCACCAATTGCTAGTGTTGGCACTTGGCACCAACCAACAGTGGATGAGAACTGAGTGTTACCATTAGTTTATTATCTTACTGTAGGACTTTTATACTTTCTCTCTGTGAGTTCTCGTGGGCAGCTCCTCCCAACACTGACTCCTTTTCTCTTTCTTCCACAAGGCTGGCTGACTTCTTCCTGTCCCTAACGTGAACACCTGACCCTTTCTGTCCCTAGCAGCACATGCTAACCCTTACTGTCCCTAGCACAACCACTTCACCCTTACTCCTCACAGCAGCAGAGCCAGCTGACTCCAACTCTCTCTCAACCAGCTAACCCACTCTTTTATACCCATCCTTATAGGACCATCACTGGTCCTATAAGCTGTGACCTATTAAGGGCAGGTCTGCTCCTACTCTTTGGTAATTAATACAGCTGCAACTTCTCAGGGGCGAGACTGCCTTCAGCACTATCTCTATTCTCCTACAATCCATCCTCCCACACAGTAAAGCCCAAAGCTGTCCTCAAACCACCCAAACATAAAGAGAATTCTCCTTTCAGAGAATTATTAAAGCCGTCAAGAGCATTGAAATGCAAGCACAGTATCCCTATCTTCTGAGGTATTTTGTAATAGGACCATACAGTATAGGGTTCAATTGGCCACAATCACCACTTTTTCCATTACTCTGAAGGATTATGTGTGCACATACTATTAAGAAAAAATATGCAATTAAAAGAAAAAAAAAAACCTGCATAAAGTTCTGTTTCTAACAAAGCTGCTTCCAAAACATGCCCAACACAATTTATGGGCAATCAACTGTTTGAGCAATTCAGTGTGTCAAGGCAGGGACAGGGTCTTGTAGGTTACTTTTCTCCAAAGAACAAGAATTATCTGTGATGTGCAAATGAGATGGTGGAATTGAAGTAATCTGGTATATTTGCACTTTGAAGGCACTCTTATTTCTACTCTCCGTCTTTCCATTCCATTATTTCTTTTCCATCAAGACTTTAGATGTCTCAAAGACATTTCCCTGCTATGCAAACACAAACCAATAAGGGAAGTTCAAGATCACAGAGATTTAGTGGAAAGACATTTTCTGACATCCTGCTGAACACTATTGTGCTGAGGCTGACTAACCAGAAAACAGCTAGTTGTACAGCAACAAAGATTTCTACAAATGTAAGTGATGGTGTAAAAAATCCAACTACATAGATTTGTGGTTTGCACATTTGATATTAAATTCTTCAACACATTTTTAAGCTCACACTTTGATTTCTGTATGAATCTTCATTTAACTCCAGAGGCATGAGACCAGAATGGAAAGCATTCAGGGAAGAGTAAGATGCCAGGCATCCCCTATTTCCAGAAGAACTTTACAGATACGTCAAGATACTTAAAAAAAAAATCACAGGAGCTTTAGAAACGTGCCAATCTTGCAATTTGGGGAATGAGAAAATTAATTAACCTATTCTAAATCAGTGACAAGCAGTTTCTGTTTTTCAGCAGGGAGTAATTACACAACAGAATTGTAGAAGTATGGAGGTAGGCACCTCAATGTTCTTTTGCTCTTTTGGCTTCAAATGTGGGGAAGCTTCACATGTGTTCAACAAAAGGTAACCATCTCCTCCCTGCTGTTGCACCAGGCCTCAACAAAGCTCTTACCAAAGAGAGTTCCTATCAAGTGCATGCACACCCTTTCGTCTGGTGCCAGCAGCTGAACGACTGGCAGCGCCTGCCAGGCCAGGGCATCCTGGAGACGAGACAGGACATGCTTCTTGCGCACCAGCTAGGGATCAAACACAGCACCCCGTTAGGCCCTGGGCCCCAGCCCCAAGCTGCTCCCACCCCCCTGAGGGGAAAGGACCACCAGGGTCCGGGTGCCGAGGCGACAGGGCCGGCCAAGGGCCACACCGGCCGGGCCCCGGACCCAAACCGAGCGCCGGAGAGCACAAGCCCAGCCGGCGGGGGCTCGGCGGCCCAGCCGCACACGGGAGGGCCGGCGGGGCAGGCGCTGCCCACCGAGGCGCTGCCGTCGCCCAGGGTCTCCACGGCGCAGGCGAGGCAGAGCGGCGGGCGGAGCGGCAGCGCCCAGCGCGGCCCGTGATCGCCGCACGGCACCGGCACCGGCACCGGCGCCCCCGCCGCCATCGGCCGCTGCCGGGGCTGCCGCGCGGCTCCGCCCGCCGCGGAGACGGCGGCTCCGCCCCGGGGCCGCTCCCGGCACCGCCTCCCTTCCGGCGGCCGCGGCCGCGCTCCCGCCTCTTCCCTCGCAGCGCGCTCGGGCCCGCCGCAGCCACCCCGCCGCGGCCATGGTGAGTGGCGTCGGGCCCCTGTCTCCTTCCTCCTCCTCTACCTCCTCCTCTTTCTTCTTCTCCTATTCTTCCTTCTCCTCTTCCTGCTCTTCTTCCTCCTGCCTGCTGCTGCCAGCCTGGGAGAGAGGAGGCCGCGCGGCGGGCAGCACGTGGAGGCCGTGCGGGCGGGCGGGGCTGCGGCCGATTGCGGGGCGGGAGGCCCGGGGGGCTGGCGGGCCTGGGGACGCCGGTAACGGGGGACTCCGTGTCCGGGGTCACCCCGCGCCGTGCTGGGAGCCGGAGAGGTCGCGGTTCTGCCAGCGCCAGTCCTAACACCGCTTGTGACCTCCCTGCTGTGCCACCCCGCTGCCCATGTTACCGTTTAGAAGCTACCGGTGGTTTGCAGAAATAACCCCGATACCTGCTCTTCTGGTGATTTGTTCAAAATTTTTGTTAGTCTGTTAATTTGCACTGTTAAGGTGCGCTGAAGTGTTTGATTTTGTGTAGTCTGTGGTATAAAACGCCCGAAGACTGCCCCATAAGTGCACTGCTGCAGGTTTGTAAGGTGTAGATTATGAGTAGAGACACACTTTACTTTGGTGTAAAGGATGTCTTTCTTACTTTTCCCCTTTACTTTGATACAAGAAGAATCCTTACTCTTTTAGAAGTAAAATGCAATGGTGTTTCTTCTATATGAGCAGAGCAGATTAGATACGACTTCAGAAATCAGTATATGTGGTGGACATGATGCCTGTGCAGTGTTGATCAGACCAAAGCTTCCTTTGCTCCTATTGTAATATTCTTTACTGTTTCCTTTAGAGTGAGGCAGAAGTGAATCCCAAAGCTTACCCATTGGCTGATGCACAGCTCACCAAAACGCTGCTGGATCTTGTGCAGCAATCCTGCAACTATAAGCAGCTACGCAAGGGAGCCAATGAAGGTGAGACCTGTATGTTGAAAAGTGTGCTACAAGTCACAAGGATATTTAGAGATGCTGTGGGTAAGAGAATGTGTTTCCTCTGTAGCTGTGAACCGCTAACTTTATATAGATCTGGCTATTGCAGGTGTGTGTCTCCTTTATCTCCTGTTTTACCAATATTCAGGGACAGAACTAAACTGTAACTGTCAGATAAACTGACATTTATCTGCAGTTCTGGTGGATGTCCCAAACTCTTCCTGGTGCTTGGTTTGTAATCATGCATACTTCAGTGATGTGGCACTGGGGTTACCAGATGCCTAACCAGTTCGGAACCATAAAAGATTTGGGTTTGAAGGTAACTTTAGTGTAACCTGTTCACAATCTTCCTCCACAGTTGCTTGGGACTTCACCTAGTCAAACTTGTAAAAAACCCACAATTCGTAAGGGTAGAAATTCAGTAATCTCTTAGAACCCATGTCCCGTGTACTAGATCTTCCCACTGATGCCACTTTCAGCGTCTCCTGAAGTTGTTTTACATTAGATATGCTTTCCAAGAAGACCTAGACTGACTCAAGTTTCTTTTACAGCCACCAAAACACTGAACAGAGGGATAGCAGAGTTCATTGTGATGGCAGCAGATGCGGAGCCCTTGGAGATCATCCTGCACCTACCTCTTCTCTGCGAGGACAAGAACGTACCCTACGTGTTTGTGCGCTCCAAGCAAGCCCTGGGCCGGGCATGCGGCGTTTCCCGGCCTGTCATCGCCTGCTCCATCACCATCAAGGAGGGATCACAGCTAAAGCCTCAGATCCAGTCTGTACAGCAAGCTATTGAAAGACTGTTGGTCTAAGTGCCCATGAGTGTGTGTGTGTGTGAAATAGGAAAGTGCAAATTAGGGAAAATTAATGTTTAGCTTCAGTTGAGATGATAGTTTTGATATCAATGTTTCATTTCAAAATGCCACATTTTTGTTTATTAATGGCTTAATTCTTAGTGTTTCTGCCTCCTATCCCCCCGCTTTCCTATTATTCCACTCCAACACATTCATTCTCATATTATTACTTCTTGAAAAGTGACTGTACAACTGTTTCCTGTTTTATGTTTAAAAGGAGGACAGAAAAAAAAGTCCCCCTCTTGTCTTCCTGACTGCCTGCTCAGGGCTTTTTTAACCCACCTGTCAGCTTTCTCTGTGTAGCAGTATTCCTGCTAAGCTTGAGCCTCCAGCAGGTGTGCATAACTCTTGTGTTTCTGAACGGTTTAGGCTACTGAGAAGGTTCCCTGTGTTCAGGCTGCTGGAGTCAGTAAGTGATGGAGCAGCACGGGTGGGTGTGAGGCAGGCAGCAGCTACTGTGTAGCAGCAGATGGAGCCAAGATCAGCACAGCCCTTGTTCTTGAAACCAGACAAGAGACTTCTGTTAAGAGATGCACTGGGAGCAGAAAACTTGTGGCAGTAGGCAAGGGGAACACTCTTACCTTGATTATTTTTAAATACTGACTTTTTAAGAAAAAAATAAAAAATGCTGCAAAGCTACATAGAATTGTCATTCCCTTGGTGAAATATTTGCAACTAACTGGAGTGTTTCTGCTTGTAAAGCTAAACTGCTCACAGGTTGCCTAAAGGTTATTACAGTGCAGTAATTTGTTCTTTTTCAGCTTCCTTTGCATGGACTGTTACCACTGAGGTTGGGTTTCCTAGAGAAGTACAAAACACAGGGCAGAGAGCAGCCTGTTGTGGCCGACAAGTACCCTACATCTAGCTGTTAATTATAAAAAGTGCCATGCTTTTTAGCTACTGCACTCTAGTCACCAGATTGAAGATGAACCCTTTTAAGTCATGGCCAAGGAAACAGAGAATAAGTAATTTTTCAGATAAATTAGTATGTGTCTGAAGAAGAGAATGCTGTATCATCTCAAGTCCTGGAAAAACATCATGGGGCACCAACAGCAGTCCGGATTAGTGGTGGTTTTATGGACCTAGTTTTAGTGAAATACATATTGTATAACAAATGCATTTCTGCTCTGATTGGTTAAGTTTAAACCCCTGTGTTGGAATATCAAATTTGTTTTGTATTGCAGGATGCCAAAGCAAAATAGCATGGAAACTCCATTAGGTGCAACAGCAGAATGGAAAATAAATTTTCCTGTAATGTTTCCACAGAAGCACTAACTTCATACCTTTCATAAGCACATCCCAAGCAGATGAAGTGAGCTCATGAAAGATTGAAGACATCATGTTTGTATATTTTTGTAAATGGCTGATACCAGCAATCCTTGCTGAGGTGAACTTGATACAAATACTTCAGAATCCTTTCATTTGTGTGAGGTTTAGAAGGGCTCCTGTTCCCTTCTACTGATGCTGACTGTTGAGCTAGTTGTGTTTAGAACTACAGCTTTGCCAAGGATTTGTACTGTTGTACCAAGACAGATTATGCAAGAGAAAGCACACAAGGAGCAGAAATAAAGGATACTTAAGCAAGCAAAACTGTCTTATTCTGCTCTGAAGCACTCCATCACCATCCCTTTTAAACTTCTGCTTAATGTGATAGCCTGCTACTAAAAAGAACAAAGCAAAACAAACAAAAAAAAACCCAAAACCAATAGGAGGCAGATCTAATAACCTAGAACAAACATGCTAAAATCGTCCAAAACCTAGAACATGATGTGTCTGAGGGTCAGCAAGCCAAGAGAGGAATTAACAAAGGTATTTGCAGAATTCAAGTCACAAAATTACAGACAGGATAGTCTCACTATTCCACTCTTCCAGCCTTGCTAAGACAAGCATTTACAGTAACTTTATTGCCCAAGGGCAAAATAAATTTAGTGCTTAGGCAAATCTTTATTAAAAATAATGCAGGCTGATTGGAAGTGTAACGGGTAGTTTCAGTACTGCAGAGCTCCGTGCAGGCTAGCAGCGCTCTGGAGGAATTGTAGAGGTAGAAGTGAGCAGCGTGCTGGCACACCTAGGACAGTCACAATGCCAGAAGGGTGGTCACAGCTGGCTCCACATGTGCCACACTGCAGACTGGTCAGCGGACAGTTTGTGAGCCACACACAGGAAACTGGACACTAAAAACACTATGGAGACCAAAATGGACACCTCGGGTATCCAATGTTTGCATCTCATAGAAAGTTAAGCTTTTCACTAAACAATTAGTAATTTCCTAAAGCAAAAGCAACAACTGTTTATTGGTTTTAGTCATCTTGCACTGCAAGAGAGGTGGGGCATGCCAGGGATGGAAGTCTATAACCCAAAACACCCAGCTGCAGCCTTCGTAAGTATGACTAAGAAAGTAAAAATACTGTATGTAACAAGGGCTCTCTCCATACCTTGCTATTCTTCTATTTTAAAAGCATATATTTGAGTACATAAGCCTGCACAATAGTCTGACTCACACTCACTTAGAGAAGTGGAAAAGCTCTATGCCATCTCAGTAATTTAATTGGGATAAATGCAGCCTTCTGGGGAACATGATTTGTTTTCCATTTTTAAACCAGTTTCTGCTATTACCATTTAAAAATGGAAGACACGTATGTGCAGAATTGTTAAGTGCCAGCTCTTTGCCCAAGGGATTGGATACTACTTCCCAATAATGATTTTTTTTCTTTTAAGATCTGCTGGTAGTATTTGTAACAGTGATGGCAGAAAATAACCCAATTTGATTACTAGTACTGATACTGTCAGTTTTGGAGAGTAATACATATTTATACCCTCTGTTAGGACACAGGCTCAATCTGCTGCTTAAATTCATGTGGTGCCATTAACACAGATCTTTGTGTTTTCTTACCCTGAACTGAGTTCTGCTATCTTTATGATGCAGAGACAGCACAGTCAGTGTTGCAAAGGAAAAGGTCCAAACTTTTATTAAGAACCCAGCAAGGCACATAGCAAGATTAAATAGACACAGCACCCACATAAGACAATCAAGATTCTAAGCAGA